TTCCGCCTCGACCGTCTTCACCGCCGTTGCAGCCTGTCGCTGTGGACTCTGGTGCTGCAGGAGGTGGTGCCACTGGGGGTGCGGACTCTGGGGGTGCTGGTTCTGGGGGTGCTGAGTGTCCTCTGGGTACAGGAGGTACTGGAAGTGCTGGTGCTGGTGGTCCTGGTACAAGTCGGCAGGAGGCTCTCTCGCCGGAGCGGCTTCGCGAGTGGGCTGTCCAGTGGGGCAGCCCTGGTGGTGGAGCTAGCCGTCTTCGAGCGGGAGGTGCTGGGACTGCTAGAGCTGGGGGTGCTGGGACTGCTGGAGCTGGAGGTTCTGCTACTGGTGGTACTGGGGTTGCTAATGCTGGTGGCACTGGTGCATGTCGGCAGGAGCCTCTCTCGCCGGAGCGGCTTCGCGAGTGGGCTGTCCGTTGGGGCAGTCCTGGTGGTGGCGCTGGACGTGCTGGAGCTGCAGGTTTTGGAGGTACTGGCCCTGGAGGTGCTAGTGCTGGTGTTCCTAGAGTTGGCTGTGCTGGAGGTACTGGTACTGGAGGCACAGGTGCTGCTGGAGGTACTGGAGGCGCAGGTGCTGCTGGAGGTACTAGAGGTGCTGGCCCTAGAGGTGCTAGTGCTGATGTTGCTGGAGTTAGCCGTGCTGGAGGTACTGGTACTGGAGGCACAGGTGCTGCTGGGGGTACTGGCGGTGCTGACACTGGAGGTACTGGAGTTAGTGGTGCTAGTCGTCAGGAGTCGCTCTCGCCACTGCAGCTTCGCGAGTGGGCTGTCCGTTGGGGCAGTCCCGGTGGTGGAGCTGGAGGTACTCGTTCTGGGGGTGCTGTTGCTACTTGAGCTGGAGGTTCTGGGGGTGTGACTACTCAGCCGCAGCCGTCTGCGCTTCGTCACCTTCTGAGTCTCTCGCCTGCTTCTACTCAGATCCCGGTTGCTGGTACTACTCCTCCGTTGCTGTTCCCACCGACTGACCAGTCTCAGCTACAGCTACTGCCCGGCTCCCCACTGCCTGCTCCTGCTCCTCACACGGAGGTGACTGAGTTTTGCTCTGAGTGCCGTGAGCCTGAGACTCGTCCTTCCACACCTGTTCGCGGTCGTCGTGTTGTCCATCCTCGTGCTCCAGCTATGCCAGGCACTCACCGTATGGCACTTCGTCCTTCCTCTGTTCCACAACGTGTTGTCCTGCCATCTCCTCCTCCGTCTTCTCTTCCTCACGTTCCTGACCCTGAGTCAGACCTTGTCCGTACTGCCACTCCGACTGTCACTCGTCTCCTTGCCATGGTTGTGACTAACCCTTCCTTTGAGTCTGCTGCTGCGTCTGCCTTAGTTACTGAGCTTGTTGACTTCGCTGCTTTGTGTCGCCTTGACTACGCTGCGAGTCTTGTTTTTTACTCTTCCTGTCCTCCGTCCGTCGAGGGTGAGCTTGCCTTTAGCTATGACGTTCTTGAGGACAGGCAGTTTGAGCTGGAGTGCCTAGCAGCCGCCGCACCTCATCTCGCGTCCACGCTGCTTTGCCCTGCGGGAGACCCGGATGCACTGGACATCCCGACCCCGTGCACTTACGCAGAGGCGATCACGGGTCCGTACTCCTCTCAGTGGCAGATAGCCATGGACACAGAGATGGCTTCCTGGAAGTCCGCAGGCACGTACGTCGACGAGGTTCCCCCACCTGGGGCGAACATAGTCGATGGCATGTGGATTTCCAGGGTGAAGCGGCCGCCGGGTTCTCCGCCTGCCTTCAAGGCGCGTTACGTTGCACGAGGCTTTAGTCAGCGCGAGGGGGTCGACTTCTTCCAGACCTTCTCCCCCACCCCGAAGATGACCACTCTTCGGGTGCTACTGCACGTTGCAGCACAGCGTGACTACGAGCTGCACTCCCTCGACTTCTCGACAGCCTTCCTGCAGGGCAGCCTTCACGAGGCTATCTGGTTGCGCCGTCCACGTGGCTTCACTGGGTCGTTTCCTGAGGGTACCCAGTGGAGTCTTCGGCGACCGGTCTACGGCCTACGACAGGCGCCCCGCGAGTGGCACTAGACACTGAGGACTACACTTGCGGCTCTTGGCTTTGCTCCCTCGACTGCTGACCCGTCGCTGTTTCTGCGCACAGACACTTCTCTGCCGCCGTTCTACGTTCTCGTGTACGTTGACGACTTGTTTTTTGCTACTTCTGACACTGAGGCTCTTGCCTTAGTGAAGGGGGAGCTGCAGGAGAGACACACCTGCACTGACATGGGTGAGCTGCGGAGCTATCTTGGCTTGCAGATCACCCGGGACAGAGCACGCCGCACCATCACCCTCACTCAGTCACACACGGTGCAGCAGGTCCTTCAGCGTTTCGACTTCACGTGGTCCTCGCCACAGCCCACTCCTCTGTCTACCGGCCACTCGCTCTCAGCTCCACCTTCGGACGAGTCCGTCGAGCCGAGTGGTCCGTACCCAGAGCTTGTGGGTTGCCTCATGTACCTGATGACGTGCACACGACCTGACCTCGAGTACCCTCTCAGCCTCCTGGCTCACTACGTGGCTCCCGGTAGACACCGAAAGGTGCACTGGGATGCTGCGAAGAGGGTATTGCATTACTTGTGCAGTACATCGGGCATGGGGCTCGTGCTTGGAGGACGGGGTTCAGTTGTTCTCACCGGTCACTCAGACGCTTCTTGGGCTGACGACCAGACGACTCATCGGTCGACACAGGGGTACAGTTTCAGCCTCGGCACTGGTTCTGTCTCGTGGAGGTCCACTCGCTCTTCTTCTGTCTTAGTTCCAGCTGTGAGGCCGAGATCTACGCTGGGGCTATGGCTCCACAGGAGCTACGCTGGCAGACCTACCTGCTGACCGACTTGGGTGAGCGGCCTCATTCTCCTCCAGTTCTGTACGTCGACAACAAGGCCATGATTGCCTTGTGTCAGGTCCAGAGACTGGAGCACAGAACGAAGCACATTGCTCTCCGTTACTTCCTCACGCGAGAGCTGCAGCAGCGTCGTCAGCTCCGCCTTTCCTACGTGGCCACACAGGCAAACACTGCTGATGTCTTCACCAAGGCCCTTGGGTCTAGTGATCATTAGCGTTTCTGCACTGCTCTTGGGCTTGTGCCCACCCTGCCTCACCTGCTTGTTTCTTGATCTTGTCTTGTACTTTGATATATAAACCTGCATGTTTCTGGTTGCTATGTTGTAATCATTGTACTGCTTGTGTTATTATCAAACTGCATGTGATCTGGCCTTGTGGCCGCTTGCTTGTGCTCGGAGTGTGTGGTGTCCTTGAGATCCACCCTGAGCTTTGTTCTTTGTTTCTTCTCTTGACTGGTCTTGTGACCGCTTGTTATGCTTGCTATCCCCCACTTCGCCTATGGGGGTGTGTCAAACAATATTGTGATGTTAGGCTGTAGTGGGTCATGTTCTATGGGGTACAACCCAATTAGGGTTAGGTACTTGTACTCAACTTCTGCCTAATGCATTCATCCCTGTCTTCCTACTCTGACAATACATGTTAGAATATATAGTTATATATATTAATGTACCTGCCTGTAGCTGTAGCTTTAGTGTAGCTATAACCTTGTTGTGTTGGTGGTGCACCCAATTGCCTTCTCCTTGCCTATATCTTTGTATGCCCTCCATTATTCAAAGCCCTCTTCTTTGGCCAACTTCCTACTCCATGGTTCTCCTTAGTAAACCTCTCCTAAACCTAAGTTTTGCTTAAAGGACACATCCAGAATTACCGTGTCGGCCTCAAAACTGTCATCACTTTCATGTGATTGGTCGAAAGTTTTGAGTGGGTTTTTGACGCGATTGGTTCAGGATTTTCCCACCGAACCTAATCCTGGGGTTTCCCGAACCTACTTTTTTTTCGTTGACTTGGTTGTGTAATTCGGGGTGTGGCCTTTAAGCTACTATTTAACAATACAGTACAAGACAGGTTGCACGCTTGTTCCGTTCTTGTGTGCCTTTCTGCATCCACAACTTTCCAATCAGTGCTGTATTTTTCCGGATGACCTCCATGTTACCGTACACTACAGGCACCAATTGTAGGGGGAGGGACCCAGTGCCCAAAATGTCAGGGTAAAATACCATTTTTGCCCTTTCTGTGGGCCGCTTTTTTTCAGTTACCCTGATCAAGGCAGGCTAACCGTATAGTTATCCTTTCTTCAAATTAGTGGTTTTTTTTTTACCCTTTCAAAAACAGCGTAGCATATGTGTTACACTGATGCTGAATCCAGAGAAACACGTTAGCAAGTAGTCATCTAGAGTAGATAGTTCGCCGCCAGCAAGATTTGAACATACAGTCTTACTACTCGGAGAAATTCGCTAATTGACCCATTCTCTAAGTTGGAAAAAAAACCAAATGTATGTTTTACCTGTTTCAGTCAGGCTACTTTTTTTTTAGCCTGTATTTGTCAGTGTATCAAAACTTTTACCCTAAGCCATCAGGGTGGGACAGGCTGAAACCCTGATTAGCCAGGGTGGCCTAAAACCAATTTTGGGTCCTGGAGGGACCCTCTACATGGGGGAAAACAGTAACCTCACTTTATTGCTGTACAGCATGTATACTATGCACTCTTGCTATTAATGAGCATGCTTTTTAACAAACCATTGCATGTTATTATGGAGTACTGGTATTATCTCTCACGTCACTTGCACAGCCAAGCAATATGGTACAAGCAAGCCAGGAAATATCTGGCTCAAACACACCAGAATAAAAGAATAAAAGAACCATCGAGTTAGCCCATACTCGTTGTCAACACCGCTGCATCACCAAACTGATTTTCTTCAGTGAGCTGATTGGCATGATCTGAACAACCAAGGTACCCCTGCCAGCTGCTGCATCCAGTGTGACCCACCCACCCAAGCACTGCGTCACCACGTGATGTGACGTGACTGTCCCTCGGTGCCTCTGCCATCACCACCACCACAGATCCCCCACTGTCACCTCAACCGAAGCCTTTATTTCTCAACAATCCACGCCCCTTGATCTCCAAACGATGCATCCTCTTTGCTCCCCTCCTGACCACTCTCAAGGAGTACTACTCCATCTGGTATTGTCTTGAATGTGCTTCGTACCCATTCGCTGCACCAGCACGTACATGTCGGGCTCCGGTTGGTTGAAATTGCTGTAGTAAAACACGTCCAGCACTCTCCGCGGTCCCACCTTCCCCCTCGAGCAGCTCTTGAACTTGGGCTTCTTGACGACCAATGGGGAGCTCTCAGTCACCGCCAGGTCATCGTTTGCAAAGTTCACGAATCCGAGCGACTTGCCGTCGGTAACGTTTGTCACCTTCCAGTAGTTGAACTTGGCTACAGTGGTGAGGTTCTCGCAGTACTTAAACCAAGTATTGCGCTTGTTGTTAATGAGTACGAGGTCGAGGAAATTGTCCGAGGGCAGCCCGCTGCATGAACCGGTTTGGGCGGCGGAGAGAGTGTTGGCGGTGTTGCAGGGGTTGCCGCTGATGGTCTGATCCAGACAGATGTCCTTCATCCAGGGCCAGAGCTGGAATTGGGGAAAGCGAGAAAAGCAGCAGGGAGGAAAAGGGTCAGTAATCCCGTAGGGTAACTAATGCTCAGGGCCACTAAGGTAGTATCCATTCCGCACTTTGCACAACAATCTAAGCCCAAGGATCAGAGCAAAATCATGAAATGCTTATAATGCGTAAGGTGTGGCTCGTTATAAGCACACATACGGCCCACAACTCACATTGTTCCAGAGCGGTGTGTCGTAGTACTTGCGGCGCATGGACTCCCAGTAGGTGCCCGGGCGGATGGCGCAGTTGTTGAGTGTGGGCGTGAGGCACGTGAACCACCCCGTCATGCCCGTTACGTTCTTCATAATCACATCTTCCACAAAGTTCCTGAAAAGAGGCAAGGGAATTCAAGGAAGACGCAAGAAATGCACAAAAGGTAAGTATGTGGGATTGGCTTGTGAACCACCCTGTCATGCCTGACACGTTGTTTGTTATCACATCCTCTACAAAGTTTCGGCGAGCAACGAGAGGCATTGCCACAGCAGACCAAGTGGGGCGAAGGTTAGTGAGCATGTGGGGAGGGGCAGGGGAAGGGAGGGAGGACTTAGTGTAGGAGATGGTTTTTGGAGAATGGGATTATGAACGTAACAGGTTCAAGGGTCTCACACTGATAGGATTTGGCTAGAAAATGCAAACTCACCATTTCCCGTTGTTGACTTTGATGCCATCGTAAGTCCCGACGCACGCGCCGCCCCGCACCGTAATTCCCGACGAAACGTAATCGAAGTAGTAACAGTGGTCTCCGTTATAGATATAGTTGCACTCCGCTACATTTCCCGGATTGAACCAGTGTACACAGTAATAAATTCCCGCTGCGTCTTGATCGCCGCTCATGTTTCGCGCGGTCGCCACAATCAGGTTGTTCGAAATCGTCGACAGCATACAATCGCCCTGTAGGCTGACGTCAGCGCCGCAGCGAATTCCCGCGAAAAGGTAGTCGTGCACGTAATTGTTTCGCACGGTTACCCCCACCGCCCCGCGGTAGATCACGATACCCGTGTGCACGCCTGCAGTACCGGGAACGGGTTTGGGGGAAAGAGAGGATAGATTAGTGGGATTGAACAGAGGACTCGAAGAGGTGAGGCGGATGTAATGAGTTGAGAGGAAGAAGATGAGAGGGGTGTTGGGAGGGTGAGAGGGGTGGGTGGGGTGGTGGTGGTGGTGGAGGGGGGGAATTGGTGGTGGTGTCGAATAGGAGAATAGGAGGGAGTCGGGATGTGTGCTGCGGGGAGGGAGGGGAGGCGGGGAAAGTCTAGGAGGCGACGTTAGGCGAGGCGAAAGCTCACCGTAAACTTCGTTATTCGTGATGGCGATATACGACGGCTCCAGAGTCGGCCCGTACCCGCAATACGCCACGCGAATCACGCCGTTATTCAAGTCGAAATCCGAGACGCCCGTCACCTTCATGCTGTCGATGCGCGACACGACGCTGCGGAACACGTCGATGCGCCCGAACAGCGTGCCCTTCACCACCTGCACGTGATGACAGCCGTAGATCGACACCGTCGGGCAGATGATTCCCGCGCCGATGCTCGGAATGTTCGCGCAGGGAGCCGACGCGGCCGTGTACGGCTGTTGGAAGCTGATCCCGTGCACGAGCACGTTGCTCGTGTTCCAGATGCGCAGCAGCGGCTCGTCCGTGCTCGCGAGCGAGAGCGTCGCGCCGTTGGGCGGCGCGCGCGCGGAGCGCAGGATGGTGCAGGCGTAGGAGGCGTTGAAGAGCAGCCCGCGCGTTAAGGCGAGATCGGATTGGAGCTCCAGGATGACCGTGGATTGCGGGGAGTACTGCAGCCGCAGCGCGAAGTCGTCTTCGGTGAACACGGCGATCTTGACCGCCGTGAGAAGCGGCGAACAGGGCGGAGGCGACTCGGTGGCGACTGGAGCGGACGGGGATGGGCAGGGGGGTGGGGAGGGAGGTGGGGAGTGGGGATGGTGGGGAAGGGGGGTGAGCGAGGGGGCAAAGCTTGGGAGCTGAGTTTGGGGAAGAAAGTCTTGGAATGGATACCGTTGAGGGTTGTCAAGGAGGAATGGAAAGAATAGGAGCAATGAAGTGGTGGAGAAAGGGGAAACGGAAGCGCGAAAGGGGGTAGGAGAGAGTGGGGAGAGGAAAGCTTGATGAATGGGGAGGGCGTGGGTGAAAAGGTGCGAACGGATGAAAGTCTAGGAGGCACACATTGAGACCCCTTGCGACCCATAGCGACACAATTGCGATGCATTGCGACGCCTCGCGCGAGGAGGGAGCAGGAGCGAGGGTAGGGGGTGTAAAAGGGGGGATTGTTGCGACATTCAGTGAACTGATCAAGGGGAACTTAACTAAGAAGAAAGATGATAGCAAAAAGGAGCGGCGTTCGCGCCAGGCAAAAGATTAGAGGAAGCGCATACCTGCATTGCTTGTGGAGTACACTGCCATGCTGCTGCTGGCGAGAGATAGTGTCGACGTTGTCGTCGTGCTGGTAGTGTCCAATAACGAGTACCGATGCGGGAGCGAGACATTCTCTCCCTTCGTTCCATCACTGTTGCTTCTCTCATTGCTGTCTCCGTAAATGCCGCCAATCTTGCCATTGCCTTCCCCAGGGAATTCCGCGCCTCGGGGAAGTCTGGCGCTGCTACGCAGCTCCGTGTGCCGGCCATCTTGCCATTCGTCAGTTTCGACAATTTGGCCATCTATTTGGCCGTCAAGCACGACAGTGTGTCCCTCCTCCTGTCCCCCTTGCCCTCCGCCCAACCGTTGTTGAAAAAGGTCAGCGAGTAGTGGCAAAAGATGATGGCGCCGCGGCAGGCTGCGACTAAGGCTAACCGAGTAGCTATGTCCGCTCACGCGTGCGCGCGCACAGAAGAAGAGGGTTAGAAGCAACAGCTGGAGACTTGCGCGAGCGAGAAAGGCAGGTCGCAAGCGTTGAGTGCGTATGTGAAGCATGGTGACTGATGTACTTTCTGTGAATTTGAACTGGCTTTATATATCAGATGGTGAAATCAGGCTGACTAAGTCGACTTGAGATGCTTGAACAAGAAATCGTTGTCAGCGCGGTGGTGTTGAAGAAGGGGTATTTAGTTACGTCGGAAGAGGTACTTCCGAACCTGCGCTTTCTAGGGACCTTCGTCTCTACCTGCACACAGTTTCCCAGGTTTCGCGGCCCAGACAGAAGACTTATTGCGCTAACACAGAACTCGTCTCCACATTTACCCACGTGTCATCATCTCGGTGCACATTTTGTCTTTTTATCCGCACCCGACTAAATCCCCCTCGGCTGGCAAGTGTAAAGGGGCATCAACCCTAAACACCTTGCGACTAAGTGTTTAGGGTTGATGCCAAAACTAAATCCCTCTTGGCTGGCGTGCTAATGTAAGGCATCAACCCTAAACACCTTGTCGCGTGGTGTTTAGGGTTGATGCCCTTGAAAACTTCCCTTCCGAGAGGGGTTTAGTTTTGTGCTTGCTGGCAGAAGAACAGTGCTTGCGTGACGTGCGGAGAAGCCGAGATCTGTGTTAGCACAATAACTCTTCCGCCTCAGAAGCGGATCAGCGGAAAGTGTGCGCAAGTTGAGATGAAAGTCCCTTGAAAGAAAGGAAGCTACAGTAAGCCTTCCGGGATAACTAAAAACCCTTGAAGAAGTGCGGCGAATTCGTCCAGCCAGCCCGTGTAGTTGCTGACAATAATAAAACTGGTCCTTCTGTGTGTATGGTGTTGTGTTGATTACGTGCGGCTTGATTTCAAGCCAGCACACACAACACCACTACAGATAGCTTGCAGGTCCCAGATCGCATCTCAGGTCAGGAGTCTCGGGGGCACGGACCAGCAGGCTATCTCAGGAGTCAGTGGTTCACATTAGCTGGAATGGGATGGAATCCAATTCGTGGATGTTGTTGAGTTGAGCCCCCTTAGCATGGGGTGAATGCCCCTTGCTTCGTACGTTACATTTTCAAGCAAAGTGTCCTCCCTCACAGCAGCAAGTTCTGGAACAAATGCAGCAAATGCTGGACGTTGGTGAATATTATCGTAACCCGCCTATTCACGAGACTTTTCTGTCCCTCACCTAACCAATGGAACCTCGCTTCCGAACCAGATGGGGACTCAAAATGTCAGGACATGTCACTGGTGACAACTGCCTCGTTCCAAGCATTCCCATTCGCACTGTCGACTGTCCAGGCCATGTGATCGGAGCTCAACAACCTCTCTACAGTGCTGCCGACAAAAACTTATTGCTGCCCGCCCGTTCGAACAGCCACACGTTTGCAATTTCCGTTTCAACTTGGGCCACTGAAAATCCCCAAAAATTCATTCGACTGTTCTCCTGATCAAGTGTTCTTGAGTAACGGACTTCACTGTTTCAAAGTGTCCGTACGCGGGAGCTTCTGTTTAGCCCCTAGGTCAACTCCCCTGTCGTGGAATGACGTGGAGACAACCTTTCACAGTTTCATCTATCTGGCCAGCTGTCCCACGCCAACAGCAACACCAACCGTTTTATACTCGATAACAGCTTCGTTTCGAAAGGTATTTCACTTGGTCCTCCTAAAATTTCATTGGGAACACCACTTCAAATGGTTGCAAATGAAAGCAGCAATGATAATGGTACCACTATACTGTGCGCATGTACTGAGTATTTCTGCTTGCTACGGTATATGTATTACAAGAAAAAGCCCCAACCCCTCTTGGATCCAATTCCAAGTGGGTACTAGGTAGACTCATCTTCTCTTTTAGTTAACACCTCCTTGTCAATGTGCGTTTCTACCTAGTGAATGTGTACAGTTTTAAAATGTAGTGCATTTGCTCCCTTATGTCTCTATGTTAGCGATGAAAGTTGGACAATTGACAATACTATGTACAGTTGTAACAAGCCCACTGATGAACCCTGAACATATTGCCCAGCCCAGTACACGATGGGCATGAGTCGGGCAGGAAATGTCAGAATCCCAACCACTAGACCATTGGGATAAAATGGCTTGTTTCCGTAGCGGGTCAGTGCGCCCATAACCCCCTAGGCTAACCCCCCAAGGATCAACCGGGGATCTCACAGTGCAGCCAGGCCCCTAGATTCGTTTTGAGGTAGTCTGACGCCTCAGAGTACACCCCTCTTCCTAGTCTGGCTGTCAGAGTTACCTATTTTTTTTAGTCTGAAAATTCAGACAAGCACAATTTTTTTTGTCTGAACTGTCAGAGTTACTTCAAATTTTAAGATGTGTTAGAATCACTAGTAGCTAGGTGAGGAATGATGATTAGGTGAGGGAGAGGGGGTACAAGAGTGTCGAGAGAGTTGGGTTGTACCCTCTAAGGTGTGACCCTACACAACCTAGAGTAAGAACATAACAATATGTTTTGACACACCCCCATAGGTGAAGTAGGGGATAGCCAAACCTAACAGTGGTCACAAGACCAGTCAAGCAACAGAACAAGCAAGGCAAAGCCCAGGGTGGATCTCAAGGACACCACACAATTTGAGCACAAGCAGGCGGCCACAAGGCCAGTTCACATGCAGATTTATAATAGCAAGGCAGTAAACATGCAGGTATAAAGATATATATAGCAGTGTATAACAAGAGCAAGTCAAGCAACCAGCAGGTGAGGCAGAGTGGGCACAAGCCCAAGAGCAGTGCAGAAACGCTGATGATCACCAGCCCCAAGGGCCTTGGTGAAGACATCAGCAGTGTTGGCCCGAGAGGCCACGAAAGCAAGGCGCAGATGACCACGCTGCTGCAGCTCACGCGCAAGGAAGTAACGCAGAGCAATGTGCTTCGTTCTGTGCTCCAGTCTCTGCTCGCGACACAAGGCAAGCATTGCCTTGTTGTCGACGTACAGAACTGGAGGAGAACGAGGCTGCTCCCCCAAGTCGGTCAGCAGGTAGGTCAGCCAGCGGAGCTCCTGTGCAGCCATGGCCCCAGCGTAGATCTCGGCCTCACAACTGGAACCAAGCACAGAAGAAGAACGAGTGGACCTCCACGAGACAGAATCAGCGCCAAGACTGAAGGTGTAGCCCTGTGACGAACGCTGAGTCGCCTGGTCGTCGGCCCAAGAGGCGTCAGAGTGTCCTGTGAGGACCACCGAACCCCGTCCTCCAAGCACGAGCCCCATGCCCGATGTGCTGCACAAGTAACGCAGTATCCTCTTCGCAGCACCAAAGTGCACCTTTCGGTGCCTACCGGGTGCCACGTAGCGAGCCAGAAGGCTGAGAGGGTACGCGAGGTCAGGTCGTGTGCACGTCATCAGGTACATGAGGCAGCCCACAAGCTCTGGGTACGGACCACTCGGCTCTACGGACTCGTCCGAAGGTGGAGCTGAGAGCGAGTGGCCGGTAGCCAGAGGAGTGGGCTGTGGCGAGGAGTACGTGAAACGGAAGCGCTGTAGGACCTGGTGCACCATGTGTGACTGAGTCAGGGTGATGGTGCGCCGTCGTCTGTCCCGGGTGATCTGCAAGCCAAGTTAGCTCCGCAGCTCACCCAGGTCAGTGCAGGTGTGTCTCTCCTGCAGCTCCGCCTTCACTAGGGCCAGTGCCTCAGTGTCAGCAGTAGCAAAAACCAAGTCGTCGACGTACACGAGGATGTAGAACGGCGGCAGAGTAGTGTCGGTGCGTAGAAACAGCGACGGGTCAGCAGTCGAAGGAGCAAACCCAAGAGCCGCAAGTGTCGTCCTCAGTGTGTCGTGCCACTCGCGGGGCGCCTGACGCAAGCCGTACACTGGTTGCCGTAGGCTCCACTGGGTACCCTCAGGAAACGACCCAGTGAAGCCCTGTGGACGGCGCAACCAGATGGCCTCGTGAAGGCTACCCTGCAAGAAAGCTGTCGAGAAGTCGAGGGAGTGCAGCTCGTAGTCACGCTGAGCTGCAACGTGTAGCAACACCCGAAGAGTGGTCATCTTCGGGGTGGGAGAGAAGGTCTGAAAGAAGTCGACCCCCTCACGCTGACTGAAGCCTCGAGCAACGTAACGTGCCTTGAAGGCAGGCGGAGAACCCGGCGGCCGCTTCACCCTGAAAATCCACATGCCAGTGACGATGTTCGCCCCAGGTGGGGGAACCTCGTCGACGTAGGTGCCTGTGGACTTCCAGGAAGCCATATCTGCGTCCATGGCTGTCTGCCACTGAGAGGAGTACTCACCCGAAATCGCCTCCCTGTAGGAGCGCGGGGTGGGGATGTCAAGTGCATCCGGGTCTCCCTCAGGGGCAAGCAGCATGGTCGCGTGATGGGGTGAAGCGGCAGCAAGGCACTCCAGCTCCTCCTGTCTGTCCTCAAGAACGTCACAGCCAAGGGCAGTACAGCCAAGAGCAGTCTCACCCCCGACGGACGGAGGACAGGCAGGGACAGGGTCAGAGACAAGACTCGCAAGGTAGTCTAGGCGGTACACAGCAGCAAAGTCAACAAGCTCAGCTACTAGGGCAGACGCAGCAGGAGACGAGAACGTAGGGTCCGTCACAACCGTAGCAAGAAGGCGAGTAACAGTCGGACTGGACGCACGAGCAAGGTCAGACGGAGGGTCAGCAACGTCAGGCAGAGAGGACGCAGGAGGTAACGGCAGTTTCATAACAGCATAGCTATAATAGCATTGAAGCTGATTACAGCATACCAACGCAATTGTGCGGCCAGAAATGGAGCACTCTGATTGGTCATTTTTCAAGAGTTAGGAACACTGAGCAGTCAGGGTCGAGGTGTGGGCATCAGCCAATGGCCTCGTGCAAGTGCCAAGTGTGGCAAGCTCACAATCAGCTGACCTGGCAGCAGGCAAGGTATCGCTCGGAACTTTTCTGTGCTGGGCGCACTGGCAGCAGCAAGAGTTTTCAACTGTGTACACCCTATGTGCGCGGAATATTTTCTCCTAAAGTTACAACTTCGAAATTTTGACTCGGTTTGGCAAGGGGAAGCGATGTGCGGTTCTGCTGAAGTACGAGACTCATATGTGACAAGGCTTTCGTTTGCACCAATTCGCTTTTCGCCATGTGCGATTCGCTAAAATCGTTTTGGCCATGTGCGATTGGCTATCTAGTTTCACAATTTAAGGGTTATTATAAGCCCCCAATGAATTCGACCCTCGAGAAAGCGTCGACAAAGTAGTGTATTCTGGTGCCCCTACTCGAGCAGTTTTATCCGGAGGAAATCGTTAGTGCTGGCCCGTACACACGTGGGTGTATCGAAAAGAAGTTTCGAGGAAGTTTCGTTCCGATAACCTTTCATTCAGGCTGGCGGAAACCCCTGTATAACCGGTTTCAGAGTGGACCCCCGATACAAGTCTGAGGCTCAGCCTACACTACTATGACTACTCTGAAATTTCAGACAAGTCAGTTAAAAAAACTCTGAAAAATCAGACAGGGTGCATAAAAAAATTCTTTGAGTTCAGACTAGGTACAAAAAAAAAGTCTGAACGGACTCTGAATCAGACTCCAAAGTCTGATATCTAGGGCCCTGAGTGCAGCTCTACTGACAGGAAAAACAAGCGTTAGGGAAAATGCTGTATTTCACAGCTGCCCTGAGAATTCACCACACCACGCTTCAAATCATAACTATTTATAAGTCTTGAACGATTCAAAAGCCACTCCTAGCTACCCAAATGTACAGTGGTGGCAACACCATTCCTCTGCACCTCGACCCGGCAAATCAGCCGCCGCCCATCGCAATCCGAGTGACCGCCGGCACAGTTGCTCGGATAGGAGACAGGAGGAGCGGAGGGAGGAGCCGAAAGAGGAGTGGAGGGAGGATGGGAGGAGGGAGGAGTAGAGGAGCCAGGATTCGAGGAGGGAGGATGGGGGGGGTGGGGGTGATAGGAGCCAGGAGGAGTTGAGGGGGAGGTGGACGGGTGTGGTGGGGGGGAGAGGGAGGGGGATGGCATGGAGAGGAGGCGGCGGAGGATGGGGTCAGAGAGACAGGTGTCGTTGGGAGTGGGGGAGGGGGATGTGCCTGCAAGGTGGGATTGAGGGGGGAGATCGAGGGGGGGACACTTGAAGCGATTAAAAAAGAGACAGGCATTGCTGGGACTGGGGGAGAGGGGGACATCCCGCCCCGCCCACTGGGGTTGGGGGGACAGAAGGAGGGACAGGTATGGAAGAGAAGCGGAGGGGTGTGATGGGTGAGAGTTGGAGGAGGATGGCATGGAGAGGCGGCGGCGGAGGATGGGATCGGAGAGACATGTTTTGCTGGGACTGGGGGCGGGGGATGTGCCTGCAAGATGGGGTTGGGGGGAAACAGAAGGGGAAGGTTTGAGGCGCTTTAAGAAGTGGCAGGTGATGGTGGGAGTTGGAGGGGGGTGGCATGCCAACGAGGCGGCGGAGTATGGGGTCTGAAAGGCAGGTATCACTGGAAATGGGGAAGGGGAATGCGCCTGGAAGGTGGGGTTGGGGGAAAAAGAATGGTGGGAGAGGGGGAGTTGGGGATAGAGTGTTTAAAATGAGGCAGATGATGCTGGGACTGGGTGAAGGGGATGTGCCCGTGCCAGCTATGGCAGCACTTGGAACACAGCACACGGCAGCGGGCAGCCACATATCAAACTCGTTCTCACATGGGGTAGCCGCAACAGAAGCAGCAGCAAAAGTAGCACATTCAGTGGCGAAATGAAGGATGGCATGTGTGATACGGCGTTTGATTTCAAAGTGACTGATGACGTAATGAGGTTTTGGGGTGATGAGGATACTCAATACTCAAACACCTCATTATGGTACCAGAACCATCAGCAGCAGAAGCCACAGCATCAGCACCGGCAGCAGTGGCCGAGTGGAAGATGAGATGGGCAAGGTGCTGTTTGGCCTGAAGCAATGTGATGACGTGATGAGGTTCCTCAGTACTCACCAGTACCATCAACAGCAGCAGCAGCAGCAGCACCAGCAGCAGCAGCAGCACCAGCAGCAGCAGCAGCACCAGCAGCAGCAGCAGCACCAGCAGCAGCAGCAGCACCAGCAGCAGCAGCAGCACCAGCAGCAGCAGCAGCACCAGCAGCAGCAGCAGCACCAGCAGCAGCAGCAGCACCAGCAGCAGCAGCAGCACCAGCAGCAGCAGCAGCACCAGCAGCAGCAGCAGCACCAGCAGCAGCAGCAGCACCAGCAGCAGCAGCAGCACCAGCAGCAGCAGCAGCACCAGCAGCAGCAGCAGCACCAGCAGCAGCAGCAGCACCAGCAGCAGCAGCAGCACCAGCAGCAGCAGCAGCACCAGCAGCAGCAGCAGCACCAGCAGCAGCAGCAGCACCAGCAGCAGCAGCAGCACCAGCAGCAGCAGCAGCACCAGCAGCAGCAGCAGCACCAGCAGCAGCAGCAGCACCAGCAGCAGCAGCAGCACCAGCAGCAGCAGCAGCACCAGCAGCAGCACCAGCACCAGCAGCAGCAGCAGCACCAGCAGCAGCACCAGCACCAGCAGCAGCAGCAGCACCAGCAGCAGATGCAGCAACACCACCACGCAAGTGCAATTTGGGAGGGGGGAGGGGGAGAGGAAGGGGGAAGCGTGGAGGGAAAGAGGGTGAGTGCAGCGCAGCTTGTACATCTCCCCCACGCCCTCCAGCAACAGTCGATACACGTACACTTGCCGCTGCTGCCCTGCTCCACACGCGCGATCTGGCCTGAAGAATGTTTGAGGCGCCTCAATAACCGATGCATATTTCGAAAGAAAGAAAAATCACACAAGTGTTGAAAGGAAATGGCGAGCCGTGACGAAATTTCACTACGTGGTGAAATGAAATGGCAAGCTCTGAGATGCCCCACGTGCTGGCGGGGGAGGCACATGTGCTTGCTTGGCTCTTGCCCAGTCCCTGCCCTGCTGTTCAAAGGCCACCCCACACCGCGTTCACACACCGGTTGGTGAAGTTGATGCTTAGCCCACACGCACGCACGCCCCCATGCACGCATGCACCCCCTGCCATTGCATACCTGTTGGTCGGAGGCTGGGTTCCAAAGAGCATCGAGCATGACAACGCGCGAGGCAGCTGTGAAGTCGATGCCCAGCCCGCATGCACGCACGCACAGCCGCACACGCACACACACATGCACGACCCCCCACACCTGTTCGTCAGAAGCTGGGTTCCTTCCAGAGAGCACCGAGCATGACGACCCGTGAGGCAGCTGTGAAGTCAATGCCCAGCCCACACGCCTTCACGGCCGCCACCATCACCGCAGCACGCGGCACCCTTTCCCTCTGGAACCTCACCACACACCTGCTCACCTCTTATACAGTCCCTGGCACACTACTGCCCCCCCTTTACACACCTGCTGATCGGAAGCCGGGTTCCAGAGGGCATCCAGCATGATGACCCGTGAAGCAGCTGTGAAGTCGATGCCCAGCCCGCACGCCTTCACGGCCGCCACCATCACCACTGCTTGCGGCACCTTCTCCTTCTGAAACCGCTCGAAGGCGTCGCTGCGCTGTGATTGGGTCATGCTGCCATCCACCCGCAGCACCTGCTCGTCCCTTGTCCAGCTCCTGTTGGTTCAGATGGGAGCAAATTGGAAGAAAGGAATACGTGAGAGAGATAGGAGATTTCACGGCGGAAGGTAGACAGGTGGGCTGCGTGCGGAGGCCTTACTTCCATCAACTCAATTGGTGAACGAAAGGAACCTCAATTGGTGGTCCTGCTCGTCTCGTGTTCACCAGTCCCTGTCAAGTCAAATCAGACGGTGAGGATTGTGAAGCGACGAAGTGTGCGAGAGAGAGGGAAGTTTGATTCGAGGTGCTTGAGACAACAAAGTCCATGCGTGGCGCGGCACCTGCTTGTCAAGACCACATGGCACGACAAGGAGGCTGCAACTCACAAGGCATGGCACAACGACCCCACCACGAGGTCCAGGTGAACATGCTCCTCCGCGAACACCACCACCTTCTCTCCCATGCGACTTTTGAGGCGCCTCAAAAGTCTTCTCTCCCATGCGCACACAGCATGGGATACCCCATGTCCTGTTGCCCATCTCCCACCCAGCAGCACTCACATGGCATGGCACAGCGACCCCACCACGAGGTCCAGGTGAACGTGCTCCTCGGCAAACACCACCACCTTCTCTCCCATGCGCACCGCCGCCCGCACGATCGCCACCACCGCCGCCAGCTTGGGGGACAGCTGCACGGCCTGCTGCTCCTCCATCGCCGCCCATGCAGGACTCAGAGCATCGCTGTTCCGCTCCAGACACCGCAACTCGCCCTGAGCAGCAACCCCTTTGTTCGACTCGTCACCCAATTTGATCCCCCTAGCAGCAGCGGCACTCGGCTTACCACCCGGGGAATTTCCTCCACGCCCTGCTGCTGCTGCTGCTGCTGCTGGTGCTGGTGGTGGTGGTGGGTGAAAGTGGCGCATGGCGAGCATGGCCTGAGGCATGCCTCGAATGCCGCGGTTGAGCTTCCATGCGAAGGCGCAGGGGTGCACACACAGACAGCCCACGATCTTCAGATCGATCATCGACAGTTGCCACTCCGTGCCACTGCTGCTGCTGCTGGCACCAGTGATGCTGCTGCTGTCGGTGTTGCCGTTACTACTAGTGTTGCGCAGCAGTGCCTGCTGCTGCTGTAGTTGTTGCTGGGCGAGGCGCGGTGCCACAGTCGCGGAGTAGAAGGCGCGCAGGATGGCGAGCTGGAGAGGCGTGGGGTGCAGCAGCAGCGTCACGTCCACCAGGTCTGGAGGGAGGTGCGTAGAACGTACAAGGAGATAATTAGCAGCGGCACACTATAAAGGCATGCAAAAGGAACATGGCAAAGCATGTGCAAATCAGCATTTCCTTGTATGCTCCTTGCTTTGCTGCCATGCTTTCCTCTCTCAACCGGCCCATCTCTCATACCTCTCGGCTAGCCCTGCAAGCCGGCCTTCATACCACTCTACCCGTACCTCTCAGCCGGCCTTCATACCACTCTACCTGTACCTCTCAGCCGGCCCTCATACCACTCTACCCGTACCTCTCAGCCGGCCCTCATACCACTCTACCCGTACCTCTCAGCCGGCCCTCATACCACTCTACCCGTACCTCTCAGCCGGCCCTCATACCACCCTACCCGTACCTCTCAGCCGGCCCTCATACCACTCTACCCGTACCTCTCAGCCGGCCCTCATACCACTCTACCCGTACCTCTCAGCTTGCCTTCATACCACTCTACCCGTACCTCTCAGCCGGCCTTTATACCACTCTACCCGTACCTCTCAGCTTGCCTTCATACCACTCTACCCGTACCTCTCAGCCGGCCTTCATACCACTCTACCCGTACCTCTCAGCTTGCCTTCATACCACTCTACCCGTACCTCTCAGCTTGCCTTCATACCACTCTACCCGTACCTCTCAGCTTGCCTTCATACCACTCTACCCGTACCTCTCAGCTTGCCTTCATACCACTCTACCCGTACCTCTCAGCTTGCCTTCATACCACTCTACCCGTACCTCTCAGCTTGCCTTCATACCACTCTACCCGTACCTCTCAGCTTGCCTTCATACCACTCTACCCGTACCTCTCAGCTTGCCTTCATACCACTCTACCCGTACCTCTCAGCTTGCCTTCATACCACTCTACCCGTACCTCTCAGCTTGCCTTCATACCACTCTACCCGTACCTCTCAGCTTGCCTTCATACCACTCTACCCGTACCTCTCAGCTTGCCTTCATACCACTCTACCCGTACCTCTCAGCTTGCCTTCATACCACTCTACCCGTACCTCTAAGCTTGCCTTCATACCACTCTACCCGTACCTCTCAGCTTGCCTTCATACCACTCTACCCGTACCTCTCAGCTTGCCTTCATACCACTCTACCCGTACCTCTCAGCTTGCCTTCATACCACTCTACCCGTACCTCTCAGCTTGCCTTCATACCACTCTACCCGTACCTCGCAGCTTGCCTTCATACCACACTCTACCCGTACCTCGCAGCTTGCCCTGCAGCACGTTGCCATCAGTCTGCACGAGGTCAAACATGAGCGCCTTCAGCCGCTGCACCTTGGCCAGCGGGAACTCCTCTGCTTCCACCCCCTCACACTCACCGCTCCCCCTCGCTCCTGCCCGCTCCCTCCCTCCCTCCCCTTCTACCTCCTTGCCTTCCTCCTCAACCCCCTACCTGCCCTCTGCCTCCTCCTCTTCCATAATCCCCAAATCGTTCTCCTCCTCCTGCTCCTCCTGCTCCTCCTCCTCGTCTTGCCACCGTCTCTTGCCCTTTCGCTCCTTCCTCCTCCTCCCCCCCTTTCTCCCTGTCTTTTTGAGAGGAACATCAAAGATCCGAACAAACTCGGCCCGTGCTCTCCGCCACTCCCTCCTCTCCCTCTTGCTCAAATACGCACCCCCCTCCTCCATCTCATCCTCTTCCTCCTCTTCCTCCTCTTCCTCATCTTCCTCCTTTTCCTCCCCCTCACCGCTATCATCCTCCTCCTCCATCCCTACCACGTTCTCCCCCTCGCCTCCACTTTCCTCCTCGCTCCCCCTCTTTTGCACGCTCCTCCTCCTACCCTTCCCTCCGCCCTCCCCTCCCCCCACCCCCGTCCCCAGCACAGCTTGGTGCATGCGGGGGCGGTGAACGAAGCATGCCAGATCCCACAGCTCGAGAGTTGAGTTCTGCAGCGGCGTGCCTGTTAGCAGCACCCTCCTTCCAGTGTGCAGGCGATCCAAGGCCTGGTGGGGGAGAAGAGTGGTGGGAAGGGGAGTTGGGAAGGGGAGCAAGAGAGAGGGGCGGTGCACGAAGCATGCCAGGTCCCACAGCTCGAGAGTCGAGTTCTGCAGCGGCGTGCCTGTCAGCAGCACCCTCCTTCCAGTGTGCAGGCGATCCAAGGCCTGGTGTGTGGGGGTGGGGTGTTGGGATGGGGAGGAATTGGGGACAAAGACCTACAGCCAGGTCCCACAGCTCGAGCGTGGAGTTCTGCAGCGGCGTCCCGGTCAGAAGCACCCTCCTCCTCGTGTGCAGCTGGTCCAAGGCCTGGTGGGGGAGGAGGAAGGGCAACGAAGACATGAAGGGACTGTTGACAGATGACACACAGCACACAGCAATGTTAATGTGGGGGTGTGAATGGAAGCTTGATAAGCTTCATAAGGAATACGTGGGTGTGTGTGTGAGTGAAGCAGCAGCCAGATGTGACAGACCACCTAGTGTGCTGCCGACAAGCACCGCACACTTACCTGATGAGAGATGGTGGAGGGTGACTTGATCCGTCGGGCCTCGTTGCAGATAAGCATGTTCACATTGCAAGCTTCGAACACAAGGGATGGTGGAGCAGCAACCCACCACATGATGTGATGTGACACTCCTGCAGGTGACACTCCTGCAGGTGACACTCCTGCAGGTGACACTCCTGCAGGTGACACCCCTGCAGGTGACAACCCTGCAGGTGACACCCCTGCAGGTGACACCCCTGCAGGTGACACCCCTGCAGGTGACACCCCTGCAGGTGACACCCCTGCAGGTGATACCCCTGCAGGTGACACCCCTGCAGGTGACACCCCTGCAGGTGACACCCCTGCAGGTGACACCCCTGCAGGTGACACCCCTGCAGGTGACACTCCTGCAGGTGACACCCCTGCAGGTGACACTCCTGGAGGTGACACCCCTGCAGGTGACACCCCTGCAGGTGACACCCCTGCAGGTGACACTTCTGCAGGTGACACCCCTGCAGGTGACACCCCTGCAGGTGCAGCACGCTTACCCAATGCAAGATGCCAAAGTAGCACCACAGATGTCACACAAACAGCACGCTCACCCGGTGTGAGATGGTGGAGGGCGATTTGATCCGATGGCCCTCGTCGCATATCAACACATCTGTCTCCTCCACCACCATCCGTCTCACCTCACCCCTCGCCCAAACCCCCTCCTCCCGCCCCTGCGAACCCAACCCCGCCACCCCGCCTGCCCTTCCCGCCCCCCCTACTCCCCGCTTCTCAATCACGCCTTCCAGGAACCCATAAGTGGCAATCAGCACGCCTCCCTTAGCAGCCCACGCCTTGGCCACCCTCTCCGCCTCGCGAATGCCCCCTGCGGCGCCGCCCTCAAGGACTTTGAGGGAGGGGATGACGGCGCGCTGGGAGCGGGAGGTGATCCACTTGTGGAACTCGGCCCACCACGCATCCACTATGGAGAGCTCCGTCACGATCAGGATGCGCGGCGGGGTGCTGCTTGCACTGCCGCTGAGATGCCCTGGTGTTAAATGAGGGCGATCGCGGCTGTGGTGGTGCAGGGAGAGAAGCTTCTCGATGAAGGCGATGGTGGTCAGTGTCTTGCCCGTGCCAGGGGCATGCGCCAAAATGCACCCCCCTACTTCCCTCTCCTGTGATTTCCCGTCTCCTCCCCCTGCCCCCCTTCGCCCTTCCCCTGGCCTTCCCCCGCCCCCAGCCACCAGGTGGTGCCAGATGAATCGAAACGCAGCAATCTGATGGCTCTGCATCCTCCTCCGGAGGAAATCCGACGGCCAGCAATCATGCTCCACCCCGATCTCCCCCAGCAGCTGCTGCCGCCGCTCAAGCTCCCTCTCCCGCTCCGCCTGCAGCCGCTGCCGCTCCCGCTCCCGCTGCGCTGCCTGTTCGCGCTGCTGCTCCTCCCGACGCCACTCAGCCTCTGCTGCTTCCATGGCTCGCATCGCCTGCTGCGCCTGCAGCTGCATCGGGGTGAGGTGCGGCCTGATGCTCACCACTGCCCCTGGGGAGGGCCGGTTCGGGACCTGTGGAACAGATACGGAGAAACGGGAGATATGGGGAAAATGGGAGAAACAGGAGGAACTGGGGAGCATGGGAGTGAAGATAAGTGTGTGCGCTGCCTGCTGGCGCTGCTGCTCCTCCCGATGCCACTCAGCCTCTGCAGCCTCCATGGCTCGCATGGCCTGCTGTGACTGCAGCTGCATCGGGTTGAGGAGGGGCCGCCTGATGGTCACCACTGCCCCTGGGGAGGGCCGGTTCGGGACCTGTGGACGAGTGGGGAGCAAGAGAAACGGGAGAAGCGGGAGGGATGGGAGTTGAGATGGGCGCGCATTCTGCCTGCCCCTTGCGCTTCTCGCAAAGAACACTGCCAGGGCAGCTTCCATCGCATGGCCCGCCGGCCTGCTGCATGCACCTGCAGCTGCATTGGGGCGAGGTGGGGCCGCCTTTTGCTCGTCACAACCCTTGGGGAGGGCTGGTTCGTCGCCTGTGGGTGGGAGACACGAAGGGGCGAAATTGAGGGCACGGGAGAGTCTTGGAAAAAAACGAAAGAGAGACACGGGAGAGGAACAGGAGAGACACGCACGGGAGAGGAACGGGAGAGACACGGGAGATGACACGTGCGCTGCCTGCTCCTTCTGCTCCTTCCCTCACCGTCTGCATTGCCTGCTCTGGGCGCCCCCCTTCACCGCACCACACGGGAAGCCACCAGCGTGAAGGTAGCATTCATGACCCTTCCGCCCTGCTACCCCTCCTACGTAAACCTTTTGGTTTGCTCGAACCGTAACATGGTATCGGAGCTTCTTGCGCGCACACACACATCTCTCCGACTTGGACTTCATGGAGAGTATACTTGTGTTCTTTGCTTGAGACGCGGACCTCTTGTCACGGATCATTGCACAACTCACCAGCGACAGCTCGTGGGCGCTCCTCAGGACGATGCCGCACTTGGCACACACCTCCCCCTCCATCGCATCCTCCTCCACCACATGCCGCCCCCCGTCGTACCGACACACACCGTGCCTCCTCACATCGTATGGCCCCATGGGATGGCCTGACCGCCCCTCCTCCCTCTCCACATCTTCCTCCTCCTCATCACTCTCCTTGTCAGAGCCATCACTGTCCCCATCACTACCATCATCGTCATCATCAGTATCTGTCCCATCATTCGCTCCTGAATTATCATCAGAATCCCTATCACCACTACCATCACTCTTTCCCCCACTCGGCCCATCAGCAGCAGCATCAGTGACCTTGCGTTGGTTGAGGGCCATCCACATGTTGATTATATATGCCGGCACAGCGCCCTTTGCTCCCAGTGCCTCCCTTTCCTTGGCAAACGTTTCATCTCTCCTCACTCTCTTCCTGTCACTCTGCCTCTGCTGATCTCGCACCTGCTGCTGAATCCGCTGCTGCTGAAGCAAAAGCTGCTGCTGCTGCTGCTGCTGCTGCTGCTGCTGAGATGGCTGCTTCTGTCTGTGCGTTTCAACCCGCTGATTCTGTGCTGATGCACTGGCAGGAGGAGGGGGAGAGGGAGCAGCAGGGGGAGAGGGGAGAGGAGCAGTGCGGGTTGAAGGAGTGGGAGAAGCGGGATCAGCGGAAGGGGCAGAGAAGGAGGGAGCAGAGGAGGAGGGGGCGGAGGAGGAGGGAGCAGAGGAGGAGGGAGCAGAGGAGGAGGGGGCGGAGGAGGAGGGAGCAGAAGAGGAGGGAGCAGAGGTGGCAGGAGCAACAGGGGTTGAGGCAACAGGTGGGGAGGAGGAGGCGGGGGGAGGCTGAGGTAAGGTTGATGTGGGTGGGATGGGAACGAGTGGTGCAGGTGAAGCAGAGGGATGGAGGCGAGGAGATGCAATGGGGAGGGCAGACGGGAGAAGCACATCTATGCCTCTTGTGGCTGTTGCAGCTGCTGTGTCTGTTGCAGCTGCTGTGTCTGTTGCAGCTGTTGCGGCTGTTGTGGCTGTCGTGTTTGTTGCGGTCCTTGTGGCTTCAGTAAGTCCAGTGGCTTCCTTATCAACATCTTCCCTTGCATCCTCCCCCTTAGCTTCATCCTCCATTTTCTCCCCTAGGCCTACAAGCCCCTCCTCGCCTCTCATTTTCGCCTCTCCCTGCATCTCCGCTGGGCCTTCCTCGCTGCACCTGCCTTCTTCGTGCTCCTCCTGCTGCTCCTGCTGCCCCTCGTGCTGCTCCTCCTGCTTCTCCTCCTGCTGCTCCTCCTGCTGCCCCTCGTGCTGCTCCTCCTGTTGCTCCTATTGTTGCTCCTCATGCTTATCTCTCGTCACAACTTCCAAGCTACTCTCCTTCTCTCTCCCTTGTTCTGCCTCACTGCCTCCTTCGCCCCCATCTCCTGCCACCCCACTCCAGTGCACTTCATCGCCCCCTGCCACATTCAACCCCCCCGCTCTCTCTTGCCCCACCTCCTGCCCCTCCTGCTCCTCCTCCTCCTGCTCCTCCTGCTCCTCCTGCTCCTCCTGCTCCGCCTGCTCCTCCTCCTCCTCCTCCTGCCCCTCCCGCCCCACTTGCCCCTCTTCCATCTCTCCCTGCAGCACATCTCTCTTCCTCTTCCGCGCCCCGCCTCCCTCCACGCCATTACTCTCTCCCGCACACGGATCAGAGCACACCACCTCGTGCTCATCCACAGGCAAGCACTGCTCTGCATTTGGTGGTGTCTGAGCCGACCCAAAGCCCCCCTCCACGCCCCTGCCCTCTTTCACATATGGGGCAGAGCACACCACCTCATCTCGTTCATCCACAGGCAAGCACTGCTCTGCATTTGGTGGTGTCTGAACCGACCCAAAGCTCACCTCCACGGCCCCGCCCTCTCCTACATACGGAGCACCGCACACCAGCTCATCCCCATGCACAGATTGCGCTGCATTCGCTGCTTCTCCTCCCTCTCCTTCCTCTCCTCCCTCTCCTCCCTCTCCTCCCTCTCCTCCCTCTCCTCCCTCTCCTCCCTCTCCTCCCTCTCCCCCCTCTCCTCTCTCTCCTCCCTCTCCTGCCTCTCCTGCTTCTCCCCTCTGCCTCTCCCCTAGGGCGAGAGAGATGAACATGGTGAGGGTGGTGAGCACGGCATGGGCCATGGGGGTGATGAGGAATGATGCTACGAGCAGCAAGTAAGCCCCACGCACGCCCCAGCCCCACCGGTCTCTCCCCACCTCCTGCTTCCACTGCATCACCTTCCTCTGGCACCTTCCCACTCCTTTCCTCCTTGTTCCCTTCCTCCTCTCTTGTCACCTGATTTATTCCCTGCCGCCCCTCTTCCTTCCTCTCCTCTTCCTTCCTCTCCTCTTCCTTCCTCTCCTCTTCCTTCCTCTCCTCTTCCTTTCTCTCTTCTTCCTTCCTCTCCTCTTCCTTCCTCTCCTTTTCCTTCCTCTCCTCTTCCTTTCTCTCTTCTTCCTTCCTCTCCTCTTCCGCCCTCTCCTCTTCCTTCCTCTCCTTTTCCTTCCTCTCCTCTTCCATTCTCTCCTCTTCCATCCTCTCCTCTTCCTTCCTCTCCTTTTCCTTCATTTCCTCATCCTCTTGATAACGCCTCACCTCCCCACCCTCCTTATCATACCCAGCATTGTTCCCTATCTCCCCTTCCCTCTCACTTCTCCCTCTCCCCTCTCCCAGATCATTACACCCATCCTCCTCATCCCCCTCCTCCTCTCGAACTTCCCCTTCCTCTAATTCTGAATCCTCCTCCCCACCACACTCTCTCCCTCGTACTTTCTCAGCCCCTCCCTCACACTCACTGCCCCCACTCTCCCCATCCCCTTGCCCCTGCCTCGCTCCTCCCATCCTACTCACCCCATCCCTCTCACTCTCCCCATCTCCCATCTCATTACGTCCCTTGTTTGACTCATCTTCGTTATTAGCACGCTCGTTATGGTCCTCCTCATCACTATCATCCAGCACAATCACCTCCTTCCCATGCCAGACCTCAACCCTCTCATCCTCTCGCCTCCCCTCCACGTCCTCCTTCCTGTGCATCACCCTCGCTCCCCTCCCTGCATCACCCCCACTTGCACCAGCACTCCCCAGCCGCTTCCCCTCCTCCCCCGTCCCTTGCATCTCCCCCATGCCCCTACCATTCCAGACAGCTTCTTTTCTTTCTCCTCACTCTTCCCGCCCTGCTCCCTCTCCTCCCCCTGCACTCTCTGCACTCCCTGCCCCTCCTTCCCCCCTTTCTCGCCCTGATCTCCCTCCTCCTTCTCCTCTCCTTGTGCACCCTCTTCCTCCTCTCCTTGCACCCCCTCCTCCCTATCCTCCCCCCCCTCCTCCCTCTCCTCGCCCTTCTTTCCCTGCTGAAGCACCTCCCTCTTCCCCACTTCACCTGGCCGCATCTCACACTCACTCGTCCTCACTCTGCCTCCCTCCACTTCCATCCCCGCATCTGGATCTCCTTCGGAATGTTCCTCCCCATCTTCCTTTCCAAAATGCCCACATCTCCAACCACTCCTCCTTTCCCCCTCCTGCACCCCCTCAGTCCACTCCTCTGCATCGCCTCCCACCATCCCAGCTGCCTCTTTCTCCCCCACTAGCCTCGCCCCACTCTCCCCCTCTTCCCTTTCAAAGCATCCCCTTTTCCCTCTGCCCTCCTCCTCTTCTCCCTCCTCCTCCACCCGAACCTCCTCCGCCCGACCCTCCTCCACCCGGCCCCTCTCCCTCGGACTCGCCTCCCCCTGGCCTGCCTCTTCCTCATCATCAGACAGAACAATCACATGAGAGGCACCCACAGGCATGCCCAGCAGCCTTCCCCTGCGTGCCTCTCCACCCATGCCCATGCCCCCTCTCGTTTGTGTCTCTCCACCCACAAGCATGGGCATGGGCATGGGCATGGGCATAGGCATGCCCGTGACCATGCCCCCTCTCGATTGCATCTCTCCACCCACAGGCATGGGGATGGACATGCTCACGAGCCCTCCCCTGTGCGCCTCTCCACGCACCGCGTTGGGATCCGCTGCTAAGGGTGCCTCACGGGGGGTCCTCCCTTCCCCCGCACGTGCCCCACTCATTCCACCCACACCGCCTCCCCTCTCGCTCACTACCATGCACCCTCTGCACCCAACAATCCTTTCCTCCTCTTCCTCCTCCCCTCCATCCACATCCTCCCCTTCCTCCACTTCCTCCCCCTCTTCTAATACCTCCCCTTCCTCCACCTCCTCCCCTTCCTCCACCTCCTCCCCCTCTTCTACCACCTCCCCTTCCTCCAATTCCATACTCTCAGTCACCTCTCTCAGCCTCACAACTTCTTCCCTCCTCTCTTCGCTCCTCTCTTCTCTCACTTCCCTCCTCCTTTCCCTCTCCTCCGTCCTCTCTTCCCCCCTCTCTTCCCTCCTCTCCTCTCTCAATTCCCTCCTCTCATCCCTCCTCCCTTCCCTCTCTTCTGTCCTCTCTTCCCTCCTCTCTTCCCTCCTCTCTTTCTTCCTCTCTTCCCTCCTCGCTTCCCTCCTCTCTTCCCTCCTCTCTTCCCTCCCTTCCCCCCTCATCTCCTCCCTTTCTTGCGTACTCTCCCTCTCCCTCTCTTTCTCCCTCTCTCCATCCCCTCCATTCCTCGCCTCCTCTCCCACATCTCTCACCGTCCCTCCCAACCCACCACCACCACCTAGGCTAAAACCGTGCTCTTCCATCCCCTGTTGTCGCTTCCAGACCATCTGTCCCTCACAACCGCTTCCAACCCCTCCACACCATTCCTATCCGCATCGCCATCACGAGCATCATCACCATCCCTAAGGGAACCACCATGGGCAACAGAAGGACCAGCAGCGGCAGCAGCAGTGCCAGCAGCAGCAACGCCAGCAGAAGGACCCGCAGCAGTGCCAGCACGACCAGCACCAGCAGCAATGCCAGCAGCAGCAGCAATGCCAGCAGCAGCAGCAGCGGCAGCAGCAGCAACGCCAGCGACAGCGGCGGCAACAGCAGCAGCACGAGTGGCGGCCCACTCGTCATCGTTCTCTCCCTGGCCCTCTAAACGCTCGCCTCTCAACTCGACACCCCCTGCAGCAGCAGCAGCAGCAGCAGCAGCAGCAGCAGCAGCAGCAGCAGCAGCAGCAGGAGCAGCAGGAGCAGCAGGAGCAGCAGGAGCAGCAGGAGCAGCAGGAGCAGCAGGAGCAGCAGGAGCAGCAGGAGCAGCAGGAGCAGCAGGAGCAGCAGGAGCAGCAGGAGCAGCAGGAGCAGCAGGAGCAGCAGGAGCAGCAGGAGCAGCAGGAGCAGCAGGAGCAGCAGGAGCAGCAGGAGCAGCAGGAGCAGCAGGAGCAGCAGGAGCAGCAGGAGCAGCAGGAGCAGCAGGAGCAGCAGGAGCAGCAGGAGCAGCAGGAGCAGCAGGAGCAGCAGGAGCAGCAGGAGCAGCAGGAGCAGCAGGAGCAGCAGGAGCAGCAGGAGCAGCAGGAGCAGCAGGAGCAGCAGGAGCAGCAGGAGCAGCAGGAGCAGCAGGAGCAGCAGGAGCAGCAGGAGCAGCAGGAGCAGCAGGAGCAGCAGGAGCAGCAGGAGCAGCAGGAGCAGCAGGAGCAGCAGGAGCAGCAGGAGCAGCAGGAGCAGCAGGAGCAGCAGGAGCAGCAGGAGCAGCAGGAGCAGCAGGAGCAGCAGGAGCAGCAGGAGCAGCAGGAGCAGCAGGAGCAGCAGGAGCAGCAGGAGCAGCAGGAGCAGCAGGAGCAGCAGGAGCAGCAGGAGCAGCAGGAGCAGCAGGAGCAGCAGGAGCAGCAGGAGCAGCAGGAGCAGCAGGAGCAGCAGGAGCAGCAGGAGCAGCAGGAGCAGCAGGAGCAGCAGGAGCAGCAGGAGCAGCAGGAGCAGCAGGAGCAGCAGGAGCAGCAGGAGCAGCAGGAGCAGCAGGAGCAGCAGGAGCAGCAGGAGCAGCAGGAGGCAGCAGGAGCAGGCAGGAGCAGCAGGAGCAGGGAGCAGCAGGAAGGCAGGAGCAGCAGGAGGCAAGCAGGAAGCAGCAGGTAGGAGCAGCAGGAGCAGAGCTAGGAGCGCCAGCATTGTACAGTCGCACCCGTACCAGCAGCAGCACAGCATCAGCTACCCGCACGCAGCATCAGCAATCAGCACCCAGCATCAGCATCAGCATCAGCATCAGCATCAGCACCAGCATCAGCATCAGCATCAGCATCAGCATCAGCACCAGCATCAGCATCAGCATCAGCACCAGCATCAGCATCAGCATCAGCATCAGCATCAGCACCAGCATGAGCATGAGCATGAGCATGAGCATGAGCGTTACCAGCAGCATCAGTGAAAGAGCTGCCACCAAGGGCATCCTCCTCCTCATCACTATCTGACAGCTCAATCACCACCCTCTGCTGCCTCCCCGTCCTCTCCCTGCCTTGCACCCCTCCCCCCTCCACTCGTCCCTGCTCCCCTCCTGCCACTCTTCCAGTCACACCTCGTCCCACCACTCGTCTCTGCACCCCTTGCTCCTCTACTCGTCTCCGCACCTCTCCCCTCCCCACTCTTCTCTCCACCCCTTCCCCTGCCCCTCTTCTCCTCAACCTTCGCCCCCCCACTCTTCCCTCCACCCCTCCCCCCTCCATTCTTCCCAGCACCCTTTGCTCCTCCACCCTTTGCTCCTCCACCCCTCCTTGCACACGTCGCTCCTCTCTCTGCTCTGCACCCTCCCTCCCTTGCTCTTGCTGCCCCTCACTCCGTGTCTGCCCTTCATTCCACATCGGCCCCTCCCCTTGCATCTGCTCATTCTCTCGCAAGTGTATCCGCTCCTCTCTTTTTCCTTGCTCCCTCCTTGCACCATCTCCCTCCTCTTGCACACTCCTTGCACCCTCTCCCCCTTGCTCCTCCCCTCTTGCACCCTCTTCCTCCCCTTTACTCCTCTCCTCCATTCCCCCGTCCTCGCCTCCTGCCCTTCTCTCTGCTTCCTCTCCCACCTCCCTCTCCGTCCCTTCCCAACACTCCCCTCGCTCCCCTTCTCCAGAAATCGACGCATGCTCCCCCTGTGCCTGCAGCATCTGCCTGCTTGCCTCCATAAAACCAAGGGGAATCGCAGCGGCAGTCACAGGGGCAGTTGGAGCAGCTGCGGGGACAGTTGCAGGGGCAGTTGCAGGCGCATTAGAAGGGGAGATGTGCTGAGAACTTGGAGGGAGATCCACAGAAGGAAAGGGCTGGGTGCGGGGAGATTCGTGCGTGGAGACCGGGTACTGCACGGGGGGGAGGTCTTGAATGGGGGGCGGGTCTTGATTTGGGGGCGAAGCTTGGGTGGGGAGCGATGCATCAAGTGTGGTTGGATAAAGGCTGCGAGAGGGACCAGGAGAGGGCTCGAGAACGAGTCGTGGCTGGTCAGGCAGCGGTTCAGCTGCGGAACGGGCACGAGAGGGCTCAGCAGTAGGTGGTTGGGCAGGCGAGGGGTGAGCGGTTTGCTGGGCGGGAACAGAAGCGGGTTCCAGTACGAGTGGTGGCACAGCAGGCAGTGGTGGAGCCGTGGAATGGACACCAGAGGGCTGGGCGGTTGGCCAGGCAGGGGAGGGGTGAGCGGTTTGCTGGGCGGGAACAGAAGCGGGTTCCAGTACGAGTGGTGGCACAGCAGGCAGTGGTGGAGCCGTGGAATGGACACCAGAGGGCTGGCCAGTTGGCTGGGCAGGGGAGGGCTGAGAGGTAGGTTGAGCGGGAGAGGGCTGAGTGGACTGGAAAGGAGGCGTTGGGTGCGCAGGCGCTCCAAGCGCAGAGAATGGCTGAGCTGCAAAACAGACAGGCGAGGGGTGAGAGGATGGCTGCGCAGGCGAGGGGTGGGTGGGTGTCTGGGCTGCAGCTGCTTCGGCTGTGATGAGAACCAAGCCAAACCCCTGCAGCACCGCACTCGTTTGCTCCTCACACACCCTGCTCCCCTGGGGAGCCAAGCTGTTGGCCCGCTGAGTCACACAGCGGACCAGCTGACTCACGCAGCTGGCCTGCTGAGCTGTACTGTCGGCCTGCTGAGTCACGCCGGCGGCCGGAGGCGCTGTGCTACCAGCAGCAGCTAGGATTGTGCCGAGAGCGGCAGATAGGGAGAGAGGGGTAGGTAGGGAGAGAGCGGCAGGTAGGGAGAGAGTGACGGGTGGAGGAGTAGGTGGAGCAAGTGCAGTGGGTGGGGGAGGGGAGGGAGCAGGGACTGTGGAGGAGTGAGGTGGAGCAGGAGAAACGCCTGTGTCACGTGTGGGCAGAGAGGGGGCAGGTGAGGCAGCAGCAGCAGCAGCAGCAGCAGCAGCAGGTGCCTCAGCACGAGAGGGTGGAGGCCCAAACAGCAGCTGAGGAGGGGCATGGCGGCACACCCGATGGCCCCTCGCCCTGCCAAGCTGCCCCCACTGCCCCGCTCCTCGCTTCACTCCTCTCCCTCCCTCTTCTCTCCCTTCCTCTCCTCTCCCTTTCTCTCCTCCTCCCTCCCTCCGTTTCCTGCTCCTCAGATAATGCTGCTGTGTCTCCGGACATTCAACCTCCCCCTCCCCACCCCTTCCTCCACTGCCCCTCTCCCCACCCTTCCCCTCACGCCCCTCCTCCCCACCCTGTGCCGCATGCCCCAGATCCCCGCCCAGTCTTTCACCCTCTCCTCTCTCACCATCCTCCCCGCCTTCCCCACCTTCCCCACCTTCCCCGCCTTCCCCGCCTTCACCATCCTCCCCGCCTTCACTACCCTGTCTGCACGAGTGCCGATCACTCTCCACTTCATCCCAATCTTCGCCCGTTGCACCACAGGCGACCCACCTCGCCTGGGACGCCAGCGCATCTGATGAGTGCCGTATAATGCGCTTCACCAGCCTCACCTTTAAAGCCCCCCATGGATCAGACGGTTGACGTGTAATGCGTCTAAACCCATCTACATCAGTCTCTCCTTTCTCCCTCTCACAGCACCCTTCAGCAGCCTTGCCCTTTCCGCTTCCGTCTTCCTCCTCCTCATTCTCCTCCTCCGTTTTCTCTTTTTCTTTCACCTCATGTCTCTCCTCCTCCTTCTCCTCCTCTGTCTCCCCTTCTTTCTTCTCCACTTTCTCCCCTTCTTCCTCCTCTTTCTCCCCTAATTTCTCCTCATCTTTCTCCTCCTCCTGTTTCTCCTCCTCTTCCTCCCCTTCTTTCTCTTCCTCGAATTTCTCCTCCTTTTTCTCCTCCTCCTCCTCCTCCTCCTCCTCCTTCGCCTCCTCTTTCACCTCGTCCTCTGCCTCTACCGCGTTCCCTCCTTGTCCCTCGTGCACCTCAACGACATCATCATCATCACCCTCTCTCTTCTCCTCCTCCTCAAAATCCTTCTCCTCCTCCTAAAAATCCTTCTCCTCCTCCTCAAATTCCTTCTCCTCCTCCTCATATTCCTTCTCCTCCTCCTCAAATTCCTTCTCCTCCTCCTCAAAATCCTTCTCCTCCTCCTCAAATTCCTTCTCCTCCTCCTCAAATTCCTTCTCCTCCTCCTCAAATTCCTTCTCCTCCTCCTCAAATTCCTTCTCCTCCTCCTCAAATTCCTTCTCCTCCTCCTCAAATTCCTTCTCCTCCTCCTCAAATTCCTTCTCCTCCTCCTCAAATTCCTTCTCCTCCTCCTCAAATTCCTTCTCCTCCTCCCCCAACTCCTTCACCTTTTCCTCCAATTCTTTCATCTCCTCCCCCAATTCCATTTCCTCCAATTCCTTCTCCCAATTCCTTTTCCTCCTCCCCCAATTCCTTTTCCTCCTCCAATTCCTTCTCCTCCTCCTCCAATTCCTTTTCCTCCTCCTCCAATTCCTTCTCCTCCTCAAATTCCTTCTCCTCCTCCTCAAACTCCTTCTCCTCCTCCCCCAACTCCTTCACCTTTTCCTCCAATTCTTTCATCTCCTCCCCCAATTCCATTTCCTCCAATTCCTTCTCCCAATTCCTTTTCCTCCTCCCCCAATTCCTTTTCCTCCTCCAATTCCTTCTCCTCCTCCTCCAATTCCTTTTCCTCCTCCTCCAATTCCTTCTCCTCCTCAAATTCCTTCTCCTCCTCCTCAAATTCCTTCTCCTCCTCCCCCAACTCCTTCACCTTTTCCTCCAATTCTTTCATCTCCTCCCCCAATTCCATTTCCTCCAATTCCTTCTCCCAATTCCTTTTCCTCCTCCCCCAATTCCTTTTCCTCCTCCAATTCCTTCTCCTCCTCCTCCAATTCCTTTTCCTCCTCCTCCAATTCCTTCTCCTCCTCAAATTCCTTCTCCTCCTCCTCAAATTCCTTCTCCTCCTCCCCCAATTCCTTCACCTTTTCCTCCAATTCTTTCATCTCCTCCCCCAATTCCATTTCCTCCAATTCCTTCTCCTCCTCCCCCAATTCCTTTTCCTCCTCCCCCAATTCCTTTTCCTCCTCCAATTCCTTCTCCTCCTCCTCCAATTCCTTTTCCTCCTCCTCCAGTTCCTTCTCCTCCTCAAATTCCTTCTCCTCCTCAAATTCCTTCTCCTCCTCCTCCAATTCCTTCTCCTCCTCAAATTCCTTCTCCTCCTCCTCAAATTCCTTCTCCTCCTCCTCCAATTCCTTTTCCTCCTCCTCCAATTCCTTCTCCTCCTCAAATTCCTTCTCCTCCTCCTCAAATTCCTTCTCCTCCTCCCCCAATTCCTTCAACTTTTCCCCCAATTCTTTCACCTCCTCCCCCAATTCCTTTTCCTCCAATTCCTTTTCCTCCAATTCCTTTTCCTCCTCCCCCAATTTTTTCTCCTCCTCCCCCAATTCCTTTTCCTCCTCTTCCAACTCCTTCTCCTCCTCCACTAAATCGTTTTTCTCCTCCAAATATTTCTCCTCCTCCTCCTCCAATGCACCATCCTCCGCTTCCCGCTCTCTCATTTCCACCTCTCCCACTCCCCATTCTCTCACGTCCCCCTCTCCCCCTCCCCACTCTATCACGTCCCCCTCTTCCCCATCCCCGTCTCCCCCATCCTCCCCTCCTCGGATTTCCTCACACTCAACCACCGTTCGTTCAACCTCCCCTTCAGAAGAACCGTCACCAGGGGCAACAGTCACTCCAGGGAGATGCAAGATCGCTTCAGCACTGTTGCCATTGCAGCTGCCACCACTGCCGCTGCTGCCAGCAAGAGCAGCAGCAGCAGCAGCAGCAGGAGCATCACCAGCAGTAGCAGCAGCAGCATCGCCAGCAGCAGCAGCAAAAGCATCACCTGCAGAAGCAGCAGCGCCGACAGCAGCAGCAGCATCCCTGTCAGCACCACCACCACAACAACCCTGTTCCCTGAGCCCACCACAACAACACTGTTCCCTGTGCCCACCACAACAACACTGTTTCCTGAGCCCACCACCAGTGCTGCTCCCTCCAGGCCCACCCCCGTTGCCGCTCGCGCATGAGGGCAGAGGGGCAGGGAGTGAAGGCGGTGGGGAGGAGGCACAGCAGGCTGCATTGGCAGGTGTGAAGGGCGGCTTACCAGCACCGTGCACATCCAATGCACACCTGCCACCAGCACCACCAGCAGCAGAAGCACCAGCAGCACGGAGATCGTTCCGCTGCCTGCAATCCGCATCCCTGTGGTTGATGGGCGCGCTGTTGCCATGCATGCCATTGCAAATCCTTACATTCGCATCCATGCCATCCGCTCCCATGCCACTCCCCCCCATGGCACAACCGGCAGCAGCAGCATCATCACCTGCTGCAGCATCACCAGCAGCAAAACCAGCATCCGGAGCAACAGCATCAACAGCAGCAGCAGCAGCACCACCACCATCACCACCAGCACCAGCCACACCATCAGGAGCAGTCAGCACGAGCCCTTGCCAGGAAAACGGCTGATCCACCCGCCAATCCTCCCACCCCCACCCACTCACCACCACCTCCTCTCCCCCCACTCTGCTCCACCACTCCACCCTCGGCACCGGGTACGGCTGCCCGATAGACTCCAAATGGTGCTGCAGCAGCACGGGGAGCGGGCAGAGCGGGTTGACGCGCACGCAGAGAGCAGAGAGAGAGCAGCGCACAGCGCGCCACTTGATAGTGCTTTCCCTCCCGTCGTCTGCCACGTAGCACGTGGGGCTCTCATCAAGACCCTCCTCACTGCTGCTCCTGCTGCTGCTGCTATTTTCGCTCTTGCTGCCGCTGTCGCCACTGTTGCTGCTTCTGTTGTCATTGCTGCTGCTGCTGCTGCTGCTGCTGCTATTGCTGCTGTCGTTGCTGTCGCCGCCACTGCTGCTGTGGCTGTTGCCACTGTCACCGCTGCAATTGCTGGTACTGGGCCGGGATGCGGCTGCTGCAGCTGCTGATGATGAAGCAGGAGGCAAGAATCCAAGGGGTTCAGAGGCAGGACCAGACTCAGCGGGAGCGCCAGTGGCAGTGGCATCGGCAGCAGCAGCGGCAGCAGCAGGGTCAGCGGAAGGGGCGCAGGAGGGGGAGGGGGCGGGTTCGGGGGGCCAGGTGACGTGGTGGTGGAAGAGGCGCACATAGAAGGTGCACTCGCAGCGCGCCCGCCTGCCCCTCCCCGGCACCTCGTGAGGCTTCCTGTCAATCGCCACCACCCGCCCATCGTAATGCGCCTGGATGGGGACGGGGGAGAGATAAGGGGAGGGAAGAGAGGTGGGGATTCGCTGCAAGAGGCAGGCAGGGGCAGCAGCAGGAGCAGGAGCGGGGCAGCAGGGCCGGGAGAGGGATCCGGGGGCAGGGCGACGGGATGGTGGAAGAGAGGTTAAGGGGAGAAGGGGGACAGACAGAAGCGTATGGGTGGGGTTTCTCTGCATGAGGCACCTCGTGGAGCTTCATTAGAATCGCAATCACCCTCCATCGTGTCGTGGTGCGCCTGAGAGAGAGTGGGGGGATGGGGAAGGGAGAAGAGGATACAGGAAAGAAACAACGACGCTAGCTGTAAGATCAGAGGCACCTGGGGTGTGATTTCCATTTGCAAGGTAAGCCTGCGCATGCGCCTGCGCTCGCGGACGCTCAGCCTATGTGACGGAAGACGCGTCTAGCGTCTTAGACGGTTGCGTCTAGACGCAGCGTCTAAGACGCTAGACGCATTTCCGGCTAGGTTAGACGCATATTAGACGAAAACCCGGGCATGCCTAAAAAAAAATGTTCGGGCAGCCTAAAAAACCTTCTGAGGGCCATGGGGAGGGTGGGGGACATGCACATACAGCACATTTGGGTCAAATTTTCGCCGTACCAAAACTTTTTGAAAGAGAATTTGGTAGAAATGAAAGATGGGAAGCACAAATGGGGGATTTGTGCTTCCCAAGCTCTTGGTGGTTTGCCATCAAGGTTGGGTTTTCTAGATGCTAAGCGGTTGAGAGAGGTTTGTGTTCAATTTTGGTTGAGGGGATATCAATTTTGCATGGGGGGCTTGTTTCTAAGGTCGAAATGGGTGGGAGGGGGTGCAAATGTCGCGAAATTGAATTTCGCATCGAAATCGCGAAATTCAATTTCGGCCGCGCGATTTTTTTTTTTTTTTTTCGGGCTGACCGATTTTTTTTTACCCAAGCGTCTAGCGTCTAAACACGCGTCTAGCGTCTAGACGCTAGACGCAAGACGCGTCTTGCGTCCTCCGTCACATAGCGCTCAGCGTGGCAGAGTGAGTGCGTGCAGGAGGGCATGGTGCTGGTGGCGTTTGTCAAGCACCCCCAGGGAGACCCCAGTGTGGATGCAAAGGTGAGTGCGGCCCAGTGCCCTCTATCATGCCACGCGGTGGGCCGCACTCACCTCTGCATCCACATTGGGGTCTCCCTGGGGGTGCTTGACAAACGCCAACAGCATCATGCCCTCCTGCACGCACGCACTCCGCCACGCTGAGCATCCGCGCGCGCAGGCGCACGCGCAGGCCCCCTTTCAAACCAACCTTGGTCTCTCTCACCTCTGCGTCCACACTAGGGTCTCCCTCGGGGTGCTTCACGAATGCCACCACCACCATCCCCTCGCGCACGCGTTCGCACTCCGCCACGCTGAGAGTCCGCGAGCGCAGGCGCAAGCGCAGCCCCACCACATCCTCATCGTCCCCCTCGAACTTGGTGTACGTCACCCGGTACTGCTGCAGACCCGGGTTCAATTCCGGCTGCTGGCAATAAGGGTTAAAGTCCTCATGCTGCAGACCCGGGTTCAAATCCGGCTGCTGGCAACCTGAGTGAACCTCTTCAAGCTGCAGACCCGGATTCGAATCCCCACGCTGCAGGTTAGAGTTCCACCCAGGGCTTACATTCCCGTGCTGAGAAGGGGGTTCGTGAGGCAGACTAAGGGGATCATCAGCCGGTGAAGGGGAATGAGGGTGGTGATGGTCTGACGGGCCGGGGAGCAGTAGGGCAGGAGATGTGCGGTGTGCTTCAGCAGGGAAGTCCAGAGTATACATGGCACTGGGTGCGGCGACGTTACCATGCGCATCCTCCTGCTGCTCCTGATGATGATGATGATGATGATGATGATGATGATGATGATGGTGGCGGCGGCGGCGGCGGCGGCGGCGGCGCCGCCGGCGACGGCGACGGGGACGGGGACGGGGACGGGGACGGTGACGGTGACGGTGACGGTGACGGTGACGGTGACGGTGACGGTGACGGTGACGGTGACGGTGACGGTGACGGTGACGGTGACGGTGACGGTGACGGTGACGATGACGATGACGATGACGATGACGATGACGATGACGATGCTGCTGCTCCTGCTGCTGCTCCTGCTGCTGCTGCTCCTGCTGCTGCTCCTGCTGCTGCTGCTGCTGCTGCTGCTGCTGCTGCTGCTGCTGCTGCTGCTGCTGCTGCTGCTGCTGCTGCTGCTGCTGCTGCTGCTGCTGCTGCTGCTGCTGCTGCTGCTGCTGCTGATGATGATGATGATGATGATGATGATGATGATGATGATGATGATGCTGCTGATGCTGCTGCTGCTGCTGCTGCTGCTGCTGCTGCTGCTGCTGCTGCTGCTGCTGCTGCTGCTGCTGCTGCTGCTGCTGCTGCTGCTGCTGCTGCTGCTGCTGCTGCTGCTGCTGCTGCTGCTGCTGCTGCTGCTGCTGCTGCTGCTGATGATGATGATGATGATGATGATGATGATGATGATGATGATGATGATGATGATGATGATGATGATGATGATGATGATGATGATGATGATGATGATGATGATGATGATGCTGCTGATGCTGCTGCTGCTGCTGCTGCTGCTGCTGCTGCTGCTGCTGCTGCTGCTGCTGCTGCTGCTGCTGCTGCTGCTGCTGCTGCTGCTGCTGCTGCTGCTGCTGCTGCTGCTGCTGCTGCTGCTGATGATGATGATGATGATGATGATGATGATGATGATGATGATGATGATGATGATGATGATGATGATGATGATGATGATGATGATGATGATGATGATGATGATGATGATGCTGCTGATGGTGCTGATGATGCTGATGCTGATTCATATCCCCATCACCATCCCCATCATCATCATCACCATTATTGTGCTGATGTGCATGCTGCCCAGAGAGCCCATACGCATGCTCGTGCTGTGAAATCTGGTCATGCCCATGCGCATGGTGGTCATGATGTGAAAGGTGGTCATGCCCATGCGCATGGTGGTCATGATGTGAAAGGTGGTCATGCCCATGCGCATGGTGGTCATGATGTGAAAGGTGGTCATGCCCATGCGCATGGTGGTCATGATGTGGAAGGAGGCCAGCTGCTGCGTTGCTCCCTCTGCCCAGCACTCGCACGTCCCACAGGCTGCCGCGGTGGAAGCACTCAAAGACTGGCGCAGGGGAGGGGGGAGGGAGAGCAGCGTAGCATTGGGGTGGATCGTGACTTGGGTTATAATAAACACTTTTTTTATTAATGCTGTCTCTCCCCCTCTGCCCAGCACGCGCACGTCCCACGGGCTGCCGCGGTGGAAGCGCTCGAAGACTGGCGTATGGGAGTGGGGAGAGAGGGCAGCGTGGCATAGGGGTGAACTGTGACTTGGCTCATTGAACAAGTTTCTTCGTATACTGCTGTGTCTCCCCCTCTGCCCAGCACGCGCACGTCCCACAGGCTGCCACGGTGGAAGCACTCGAAGACTGGGGCAGGGAAAGGCGGAGCGGACGCACAAGAGGAGGAGGGGGAGGGGAGGCAAACATAGCATAGGGGTGCGTCAGCAACAAATCTCACCTGAGAAAAATCACCTGAGCAGCCTCAGCCACAAACTTCACTGGACCAGCAGTATCACCTGAGCAACCTGAGCAGAAAAAATATACCTGGCCTGTCGTCAATGTTCCTGGGCACCAGCGCCTTGACCGGGTTGACTTTTGAGTCAACTCAAAAGCAGCAAAAATACACCTGGCCTGCCGTCAACGTTCCTGGGCCGCGCCTTGACCGGGTTGACTTTTGAGTCAACTCAAAAGCAGCAAAAATCACCTGGCCTGTCGTCAACGTTCCTGGGCACCAGCGTCTTGACCGCCGTAGCTGTCCCCCCGTTCCTCCTCATTGCACCTCCCTTCCCCTTACCCCCCATCGTGCCGTTACCCCCTTCCTTCACCTCCCTCTCTCCCTTCCCCTCCTTCCGCCCCCTCTTCCGCCTTCCTCCTCTCTCCTCCCTTCTAACCGGCGTACCCCTAGTTTCCTTGGCCTTACTCTTGCCCCCCGCGCTCTTCCCGCCGTTCCCTGCACTCTTCCCCGTCCCCTTCCCCTTCCCTTTCCCCGTTCCCTTCCCCTTCCCGTTCCCAATTCCCTTCCCTCTGCCCCCCGCATCCCGAGTTTCTTCCCCCCTGACCGAACGTGCGGGGCGCCTTCGAGGCATTATTCTGTATGAGCAATTAGGGACACTTTTCTATTGGCACTAGACCTATGGGCTATAATGGGCGCTTTTCTATAACGTCGTCCATGTCGACGGCTTTGGCAAATTCGAGAGACGTAGATTCGTTTCGTTGAGGAAGACAGTACAGAATGGCTGGCTGTTACGATAGGGAGATAGAAGGCAGTCAATGGCCTAGAACATACATTTTGTGAAGCTGGCCTATGGCTGACACCGTAGTAGTAGTAACAACTTTTGAGGATAGTAAAACGTTGGAGGCGCGGAGAATACTATACGAAATTATTCAGAGGACACGACATGCGGATGACATCCGTGAACCGCGAATCAGAAGGGTCAGGAACATTAGAGCGCAGCTTTACCTCCATGCAATGAGGCGTGCCTGTGTGTGCTGTGCGGAAATCCCAAGGGGCGTGAAAGATGGGAAATGTACGCGATGCTAGCACGCTTCGAGAAGAGCGCAAGATACACCAGCTACAAGAAAGATCGGGGTTTTGAAGCACACTATTCTTTCTCAATGCTGTGTCCAGATATGCAACTGTTTGCGAAATGAAGCGGGCCACTCGCGAATTGCGATTTGCGACACCGGATGCTGCTATGCGATGGCCCAATGCCAACGGAAACGCTGCGGCTTTGGAAGCACGAGTGGTTCTGCTGAGCCGGTTTGTACACAGGGTAAATGTCTTGAAGTCTCTAGAACCGTATATTCTATGTTTGGGAATTTGTGAGGCTACGCGTGGTCATTGTTGCCAACAGATGCTTTGTTCTCAACCCGAGTACACAACTCCATGCTCGCAGTCTGGCGCTCGGTCAGTCTGGGTTTTCCAACACATGTATGTTTTGTTATATAGCCTTCAAACTCTCCGAGTTTTCTTCGGAAGAATTTGGGTTGGGGAGAATTGGTTCTGTGGAAAATATGGTTCTGCACCTAGCCTCCCTGCAGGCGGCAAACCGAAAATTTCACTACCGAACCAAGAAAGCATCAAACTATTCTTGTCAGCCAATCACAGGAGCCCACACCTGATCCCCAAGATTGCGGTTCGGGCGTTGGAATCCTTCACATGGCAGCATTTGCGCCACGAGGCACAGTGGTTTGAGGGTGCGCTTGAGGAAGCTGCGAACTGCATCTATGGCAAACACCCGGTAACATGATCCCGTGAACGAGAATGTAACAACTAATGCCGAAGCAACGACACTGGCATGTAGCTAGCGACAAGCGAAAAGCGATGTTGATCAGGAGATACCTTCCCCACCTCTAGCGTACCGATCAGCTGCCCTCTCTCTGCTTGCCTTGTTCGCAAACCCTAATCGGCATTCACTACTCTAGACCAGACCAGACTGTACTTAGGTTCCATTTTAGGCGAGTTGCACGCAAGCCCCCGTTTACTTTAGGGCGACGTCCAATGGCGTCGGACCCAGCACCGTCCACGGACAAGTGGATGAATTTTCTGACGGAGGCGAATCTCGACGACGACACCTACGTGCCCGGCGTGCTGCTGCCGTCGCAGCCTGCGTTAGAGCAGGTCGCGTGCAGGTACGCGCTGGTCTAGTTCACGTTAGGTTTCTAGATGAACGGATTCTACTCCAACCTCCAGAATTGCGTCTGCCGGACCATCGCTCCAACGCTTACATTCTGGATAAGTCGAATATTGAGTCGACTCACAGTAGGGCGACTTGATTTTGCCAGTTTGTTTCCGTGACGTCGCACGCACTAGCTTCTTCGAAAGATTCGATCAGGGCTTGTGTGTGGAACCTCTTAACTCTTTAAAACCTGTTGGGTTTGGAACGTCGCTCCAGGTCCCTCCCAGTATGCGCGTTGAACGGTGGTGCGCCGTCTCACACGTTCGACCTTTCAGTGCCGTGTTACACAATTCGCCAACGCTCGATGTCGTGTTTCGCAATCTCTCAACCTTAAGCTGTCGCCTTACGAGCTTCGTCAGTCGTCGAATGTCACATCTATTCATCAATCTTTCGCTGTCCACTTACGAAACTCGTCGGTCTCACTGATTGTCTCACGCCATTCATCAGTCACTCACTGTACCCGTACGCAATCCGTCAGCCTCTCAGTCACTCAGTGTCGCCACACGACATTCGTCAGTCACTCAATCACTCACTACACGCGTACTCCATTCGTCAGTCCTTCCGTCTCTCAGTGTCGCCGTACTGACTTTTGAGTCGACTCAAAAGTCAAACTCTCAGTCACTCACTGTTCCCGTACTCCATCCGTCAGTCCTTCCGTCGCTCAGTGTCCCCGTACGCAATCCCTCCTCCTGTGGACCAGTGCCGCGCCACACCATTTATCCATCACCCGTTCAGTTCCATCTCCCCTCCCGCTCCTCTCCCCTCCGTTCTCCCCTCCTCCATCCCCACGCCTCCCCTCGTCGCCCTTCCGCTCTCCCCTCCCATCCCCACTCCTCTCCTCTCCCTTCCCCTCCCCCACTTCTCTCCTCTCCCCTCCGCGCCTGTGCAGCGCCGAGGGCGGCGGCGGCAACACGGAGGAAGGCAAAAAGACGGGTTCCAGCAGCAGGAAGAGGTATGGGCGGGGGAGGTAGGGGGTGGGGGGGAGGGGAGAGACGGGGGAAGGAAGGGGAAGAGGGGGTGGGGGGAAGAGAAACGTGGGAGAAGGGGAGAGAGGGGGTGGGAGAAAGGAAGGTGTTGGAGGGAGAGGGACCGGTTGAGTGAGGAAGGGGGGAGTGGATTGTCTATGGCGCCGAGAGTGACGGCGCGGCAGGGGCACGGAGGAATGCGAGAAGACGGGTCGAGCAGCCGGAAGCGATGAGGGGAAGGGGGGGATGCAAGGGGAGGGCGAGAGGGAGTGATGAGAGGAAAGGGTGAGGGGAAAAGAGCGAGAGCGAAAGGAGACAGGTAAGTGCGAGAGGGAAGGCAGGTCGTGCTGACCTGTCTTTGCCGTCGTGTCATGTCGCCATTGGTTGCCACGTGTCGCTTTGGTTGACTCACGATTCGTTCTTGAGTTTTGCTACCACCTCCCCGCCCTGCCACGCTCTTGCGTTGTCGTTCTCCGTGTGCCAGGTCGCGGGATGAGGGCGCGGCCACCGCTGACGTGTCATGCAGCAAGGCCAACCGGGAGAAGATGAGACGCGGCCGACTCAATGACAGGTGACACGTGGCAGGTGGTCGTTCGGTGACAGGTGACAGGTGGATGCTGACTCCTTGGCGGTGTATAAATTCTTGAGAATTTTTCAAAATTACCCTGAAACGGTAGGTTATTTATTGTGCGACCGATGTAATCATGAGTGTGGCATTGCATTGCCAGGTGGAAACTGGCAGATGACAGATGGTAGTGGTGACACGTGCACATGCACACTCACTCACACACACACACACTCACACACACACTCACTCACACACACACACACACTCACACACACACTCACACACACACTCTCTTACACACACACACACACACTCACACTCACACACACACTCACACACACACAAACACGCCCACACTGCCATTGCCTATCAAGACGTAGTGGGATCTGTCAGAGTGCCCTTCATCCCCCCACCCCTCCCTCCTTTCCCCCGCCCCCCTCTTCCCTTCTCCAGGTTTTTGGAGTGAGTGGGCCATTGGAGCCCAGCAAGGCGTACTGGGAGCCGGTCACTGGAGCCAGTGGGTCAGCCTGTGCCTCAGTCGATGCATCAGTGTAGTGGGGTCGGTCACGGTCCTCTTCCCATCCCAACCGCCCCCTTCCCACCTCACTCCCACCGCGCTGCAGGTTCCTGGAGCTGAGTCGGTCACTGGAGCCAGGCAAGGCGCCCAAGGCGGACAAGGCGAGCATCATGTGTGACGCGGTGCGCGTGCTCTCTCTCCCAGCTGCACTGCCCATCGCACACCACCTCTTCCACACGCCCCCCCCACAGGTTCCTGCAGCTGAGTCGGTCGTTGGAGCCCGGCGCGCAAGGCAACTTCTGGGGCTCCTCATCCCACACCCCTCCAACACCCTCCCCTTGCAGGTTCCCCTTCCCACCTCACTCCCCTCCCCCTCCCCCTCCCCCCCTTATTCTCCAGGTTCCTGGAGCTGAGTCGGTCACTGGAGCCCGGCAAGGCCCCCAAGGCGGACAAGGCGAGCATCCTGTGTGACGCCGTGCGCGTGCTCTCCCAGCTGTTCGCCGAGCGAGAGGCGCTCAAGGAGAGCAATGCTGCACTGCAGGAGCAGATCAAGGAGCTCAAGGTGGGTGCGGGTGAGAGGGGGAGAGTTGTGGAGGCAGGGGGTGGAGGTGTGTGGGGTGGGAGCGGGGTTGTGACAGTGCTGCCCTCAAGAAGAGCAACGCGGCGCTGCAGGAGAAGATCAAGGAGCTCAAGGTGCGTTGGGGGGGGACAGGGAAATGGGGTTTGCGGAGGGGTGTGTGGGGGGTGTGTGGGGGGTGTGTGGGGGGTGTGTGGGGGGTGTGTGGGTGGTGTGTGGGTGGTGTGCTGGGTGGTAAGGGGGTGTGGTGATGGTGCTGTCAAGAAGAGCAACGCCGCGCTACAGGAGCAGATCAAGGAGCTCAAGGCGCATCTGTGGGGGAGGGGAGAGAAGGTGAGGGGAATAAGGCACTATAGCTGTAATGCTATCAAGGCACACTTGAAAGCACAAGAGCTGAGCGGACTGGGAAGCACGAGCACCCTTAGGAAAAGGCTTGGCTGAAGGCTGAGAGTAAGCCAAGCGGCACATTCTGGGAAATGCTGCATTGGCGAATTATCACAAGCAACTTCCCCTATTCCATGCCTGTCTGTGCAGGCTGAGAGCTTGAGTTACGTAAAGAGAAGGCCAGGCTCAAGGCGGAAAGCGAGAAGCTGCAGCAGCACGCCAACAGCTCCGCTGCATTCGAGAGTTCTCACAAGCAACCGTCCCATCCCTCCTCCACCCCCCCAACTCTTATCCGTCCGTGCAGGCTGAGAAGCACGAGCTCCGTGAGGAGAAGGCCCGCCTGAAAGCCGAGAGCGAGAAGCTGCAGCAGCACGTCAACGGCTCTGCTGCCGCCGCAGCAGCAGCAGCAGCCGCTGCTGCAACCCCCACCCATCCGGCCACTCCCACCACCGCCATCCCTGTCACCGCCATCCCTCTCCACCACTCTCCACCCACCACGCCCGGCACACCCATGGCGTACCAGCCACACCCCCACGCCGCCGCCATGCATGCAGCTGCTGCTGCATATGCTGCTCAGATGCAGCAGTGCCAGCAGATGGCTCTCGGCACTCCCAAGGGAGCACACATGGGAGGCATGATCGCACCCATGTCTGCTCCTATGCCCGCCCCCATGCCGTCTCCCATGCCCGCTCCCATGACTGCTGCTGCTGTGTCGCATGCCGTGTCCCATCCGGTGGGTCAGCCTGTGCCTCAGCCAATGCATCAGCCAGGGGTGTTTGCGGGCGGCCCGCCGCCCATGGCCATGTGGCAGTGGATGGCGCCTACCTCAGTTGACACCTCGCAGGACCACATGCTCAGGCCACCTGTGGCTTAGATAGTACCTCCCCCAGTTGCCACTCACCTCTCCAGTTCACACCTTCCTCGTGCTCAGACCAAGTGCTGTGTAAGAACTGTTGACAGCTGGCACGTTGCATGATAACATGCTCTGTCTGCGTGTTTCTCTCAACTTAGGAAGGATGGTTTGTTTCTGTGGCTTGGTTGTGGGTGGATGGAGGGAAGTATATTGGAAGTAGGATCATTTTGGTGCGTTGAGTTTTTCTAACAGAACTAGGATGGTATTTTACTGGAGCTACCTATATTAATCAACTCTCTTATCTGGTGTTTTTTTTAGGAAGCATCAGTACACTGGTCAATCTTTCAATGTGAGGTGTCATCTCTAGGCAGATGATAATCTATTATGTTGCGACATTTTCCTAAATGGCCAGGTGTGACAAACTTTATCTGCTATCCTAGGTGACAAAACATTCTGGTACACTATCTAAGCCACACACCTCCAACCGACAACTGGGACTGATGGACACTCGGATTCGCGTTCATTGCGCCGCCTCATGCGCGAGATGCAAGGATCCGGTCCCACCGAGTCGCGATAGTTTTATTTTGGAGTTATTCTTCGCGAGCGATCGAACTTGTCTTGCTGCTCGCAACATCAGCTCGAAACACTTTCGCGAAAGCGCCCAATGCTCGCCAGTTCACACTCCCAAACCGCAATTATTCGCAGCAATTTTGGTTGTGAAGCGAAGCGAGGTCGCAGCAATTTTGGTTGTGAAGAGAAGGGAGTTCGCAAAATCCGCGCAATCATCAGTCGCAAATCTCGTGCGACTCGACTAACGGCAGTACTTCTCGAATCAACAGAACCTTCGATAAATAGAAGCTGGCAATGCGCTTCATTTCATCACAAGTGCCAACCGCCTTCACCCTCTCATATTTAAATCCGCCACATCGCACCAGCTAGAACGGTTCAGCATAGTCCAACGAAAAAGAAGTGAAAATGTCTCCCGCTAAGATCACTTTCCTCGTGGTCGTCCTCTGCTCAGCGGTGCTCCTTACCGCCTCTGCGCGCGTCTCTCCCGCCGCCAAGACGACTGCGCCTGCTAACGCTAGCCGTGCTCCTGATAAGGCCGCTGCGCCTGCTAACGCGACTGCTTCTGCTAAGAGGGCTGCGCCTGCTAACGCGACTAAGTCTGGAAATGCCACCAAAGTTGGTAACAGCGCCATCGGAATGGCGACGGCGAGGAAGAGCAAGGGCGCGGGCGAGGGAAATAGCTCCACATGCGCCTACTACGGCAACTATAACGCGAACCCGTACTTCGACAAGGGGCTCACCGCGAAGCTTCCTCCCGCCCTCTTTGGCAAGCGCTGCGGCGCGTGCTACGAGGTGGAGTGCCAAAACGACAAGAAGCGCTGCCGCGGCGGCAAGGTGACCGTCCGCGTCGTTGGCGAGACGACGACGGAGAAGCAGCTCTCGCTCTCCGCCGTCTCGTGGTCCAAGATCGTGAATGGGGCAGACACCGCCCCTGTTCACATCACGTACAAGCGCACCAACTGCGTGTCGACCGTCGGATCGGGTGTCCGCGTGCGCAGCAACTCTACCGCGGAGAAATTCAACATTCAGATGGTGGGGATGGCCGGCCCCGGTACGCTTACCGAGGTCGAGCTTAGCGCGGACGGCAAGAAGTGGGTGAAGCTGACGCGCGACGACAGCAAGGCGGTGTGGGGAATCGCGGGCGCGAAGGCGAAGGAGGTTGTGGGCGCGAAGAAGGCGATGAGCGTGCGCCTCACTGGGGGACACACCCTTGAGAAGATCACGCTCCATTATGTCATTCCCGCCACCTGGAAACCATCGAAGGTGTATCCTACAATGACCAACTTTTTTAAACTCTTCCCTGAGGCTAAGTGGACGTACGTGGAAGCGCCTTTAGCGCCCCCGTGAAAGCCTCTATGCTCGTCGAAGACTTTACTGTGCTCTATGCTCAATGCTCGTGAAAGGAGGAGAACAACGCAGGTAGGCGCGGGCAGTGTGAGGGATGAAGGAGGACGAAGTGTTTCACTACGAAGTCAATGTTGGAGTTTCAGGGGGTATCGGGTGGGAGGGGAGTGGGGC